GGAGACAATTATGTTAATGTCACATTGGGGGAGGGGGAGAGACGGACAAGTTGGGTTTAGTTTTGTCAATAACAATAGAATAACATGTGCTTAAAGATAACTGTAGGGTTTAGTTTTGTCAATAACAATAGAATAGCATGTGCTTAAAGATAACTGTAGGGTGAGGTTTTGTCAATAACAATAGAATAACATGTGCTTAAAGATAACTGTAGGCTGAGGTTTTGTCAATAACAATAGAATAGCATGTGCTTAAAGATAACTGTAGGGTTTAGTTTTGTCAATAACAATAGAATAGCATGTGCTTAAAGATAACTGTAGGGTGAGGTTTTGTCAATAACAATAGAATAACATGTGCTTAAAGATAACTGTAGGCTGAGGTTTTGTCAATAACAATAGAATAGCATGTGCTTAAAGATGACTGTAGGGTGAGGTTTTGTCAATAACAATAGAATAACATGTGCTTAAAGATAACTGTAGGGTGAGGTTTTGTCAATAACAATAGAATAGCATGTGCTTAAAGATGACTGTAGGGTGAGGTTTTGTCAATAACAATAGAATAGCATGTGCTTAAAGATGACTGTAGGGTTTAGTTTTGTCAATAACAATAGAATAGCATGTGCTTAAAGATGACTGTAGGGTGAGGTTTTGTCAATAACAATAGAATAACATGTGCTTAAAGATGACTGTAGGGTGAGGTTTTGTCAATAACAATAGAATAACATGTGCTTAAAGATGACTGTAGGCTGAGGTTTTGTCAATAACAATAGAATAACATGTGCTTAAAGATAACTGTAGGGTTTAGTTTTGTCAATAACAATAGAATAACATGTGCTTAAAGATGACTGTAAGGTGAGGTTTTGTCAATAACAATAGAATAACATGTGCTTAAAGATGACTGTAGGGTGAGGTTTTGTCAATAACAATAGAATAACATGTGCTTAAAGATGACTGTAGGCTGAGGTTTTGTCAATAACAATAGAATAACATGTGCTTAAAGATAACTGTAGGGTTTAGTTTTGTCAATAACAATAGAATAACATGTGCTTAAAGATGACTGTAGGCTGAGGTTTTGTCAATAACAATAGAATAACATGTGCTTAAAGATGACTGTAGGGTGAGGTCTTGTCAATAACAATAGAATAACATGTGCTTAAAGATGACTGTAGGGTGAGGTCTTGTTAACTCTTGATTTTGAAAAATGTTTTGATTTTAGTGTAAAGTATACTCTATTCGATGCTCTTCGTTCAAATCAGTTATAGGCATTGTTTTTTTAATTATAAATGTGATTTATATACTTCTACAGTGCTTAATAAGCCTTTATGCTGATATCAAAGTTTATTACAGTGTTTATAAACTTTGAGTGTCGTTGTTCTTAAATAAGGTGATTTTTTTCTGAGATTATAATAAAATAAAAAGATTTTGTGCTAAATATCAGAAGACTTAGTTCAAACCACACACTATAGGTAAACGTCGTTACTATTAAGTCTGCAGTGGCTGTTTAGCGAATCAGAAATGGATGAACACAACAAAGTTGTAAACAAATAGTTGAACGTGTTCTAGACACTGAAATTTTTTTTAAATATTTTAAACAAATAAAGCCTTTTATAAATGCGCACGTTTTTTTCGTGACTCAAAATTAAGCGTGAGCATTTGAGAGAAATTCGACACATATGTAAGAGAAATTCGAATAAACATTCGAATTATGCAGTCATCCATATGTTATATTCCCATTGACTCGAGTCAAGTTACACTATCATAGCTTATCAGTATGGTCAGACCAGTTTGTTCTACTAGGGCTAAATCTACACTCGTGGTCTCAATTCTTGGCTAAAACTATTATTTTTAGATCTAATTTAACGACAAACTGACCTCATCTGTTAGTTAGGTCATCATTTACGTGGCACCAGTTTAAAACTGCAGGACCATTATTTGTTTGTTAAATATTATGTGATTATGAGATCAGTATCAAGGGGGGGGGGGGACAACTTACACACGAGGCGGAATAATTGGAGGTGTGTTTGTGTGGTTGTGTGGTTGTGTGTGTTTTGTGGTTATGTGTGTTTGTGTGGTTGTGTGTGTTTTGTGGTTATGTGTGTTTGTGTGATGTGTTTTGTGGTTATGTGTGGTTGTGTGGTTGTGTGTGTTTTGTGGTTATGTGTGTTTGTGTGGTTGTGTGTGTTTTGTGGTTATGTGTGTTTGTGTGATGTGTTTTGTGGTTATGTGCGGTTGTGTGGTTATGTGTGTTTGTTTGGTTGTGTGTTTTTTGTGGTTATGTGTGTTTGTGTGGTGTGTTTTGTGGTTATGTGTGTTTGTGTGGTGTGTTTTGTGGTTATGTGTGTTTGTGTGGTGTGTTTTGTGGTTATGTGTGGTTGTGTAGTTATGTGTGTTTGTTTGGTTGTGTGTGTTTTGTGGTTATATGTGTTTGTGTGGTGTGTTTTGTTGTCATGTATGGTTGTGTGGTTATGTGTGTTTGTTTGGTTGTGGGTGTGTGTGTTTTGTGGTTATGTGTGTTTGTGTGGTGTGTTTTGTGGTTATGTGTGGTTGTGTGGTTATGTGTGTTTGGTTGTGTGTGTTTTGTGGTTATGTATGTTTGTGTGGTGTGTTTTGTAGTTATGTATGGTTATGTGTGGTTGTGTGGTTATGTGTGGTTGTGTGGTTATGTGTGGTTGTGTGGTTATGTGTGGTTGTGTGGTTGTGTGTGTTTTGTGGTTATGTGTGTCTGTGTGGTTATGCGCCCAGTATTTCTTTCAGACATTTTTTTCTGTTTCGGTTTACGTATTGCTTAAGGTTTAGGTTCTGGCTAATTTAAGCTAATTGTTTTACGAGCACGTTAAGACTTAACTCATTATTAAATGTAATTATCAAGATCTCTAACACTGCAGAAAAGAAAAGGATAATTAACTTCTACCAAGGCCCAAACCTAAAGTATGGTAGCATTAAACAAGAGCTGTGTGCAGCAAAATATCTTCTAAGCAAGGCAAAACTTTTAACTATGCAAAAACAATAATTAAAAATCAAGTAATGTTATAGTATTAAAACTAAAACACATATAAACCGTGTTTGATCGTCGCTCTGTAAAAAAGAAAATAAACACTAGCAGCATAGAGCCCGTTATATTTTTTGCTCAACGGGCAAGAACACCTAGTTTTTATATATTTTTCTAGATCATTCGGTTAGTAAATGTTGCACTGTTATGAATTCAGACTTGAAAAAATTATTTTAAAATGATTTGCGTGAACTTGCCATCTGACTGTAGATAGCCAACTATTTTTGGGCTTTTGATTTTTCTACAAGGATGTTTTTACTTAAGTAATTAACATAAAAGGTGGTACTATGTTCATGGCGTCAATTTGGACAAAAAATAACCCAGATTTACATTTAGATTCTGATATCTAAGCTAGGTTTGATGTTCTAGGTCTGAGGTTGGGTTTTGTTAAATATTTTACTCTACTCGTTAATAAAATCAATGTCGAACCATTATTGCGAAGTTTGACTTTGAACCTACATGTATATATTTCCCTTATGTAGCAAGTGGTGAGCTATAATGTAAAGAAATATGCTCTAACTCAAGAAATTGAGAATTGAGATAAGGAAATTAAAGGAGATCTGAAAACGTGACCTGTTACATGATTGTCAAGTGTATATAGGCTACAAGATTGTAATTAGCGATAATTTACAAAATTGAAAGTTGGTAATTTTTACATGATTAAGCTTGAGAATATGCATTGAGATTGAAACTTTATAATATGATGGGAAATGATATTTAATAAATTGTTACAAGATTGGTGTGGGTGTCATAAGATTTCAACTTAATAACGATATAACATCGTACTACATTTAAACTTGATAACATAGTACAAGATTGAAACTTGACAACATGCTACAAGATTGAAACGTGACAACATGCTACAAGATTAAAACTTGACAAAATAGTGCAAGATTGAAACTTGACAACATGGTACAAGATTGAAACTTGACAACATGGTACTAGATTGAAACTTGACAAAATAGTGCAAGATTGAAACTTGACAACATGCTACAAGATTGAAACGTGACAACATGCTACAAGATTAAAACTTGACAAAATAGTGCAAGATTGAAACTTGACAACATGGTACTAGATTGAAACTTGACAACATGGTACAAGATTGAAACTTGACAACATAGTACAAGATTGAAACTTGACAACATGGTACAAGATTGAAACTTGACAACATAGTACAAGATTGAAACTTGACAACATGGTACTAGTTTGAAACTCGACAACATGGTACAAGATTAAAACTTGACAACATGGACAAAATGCTACAAGATTAAAACTTGACAAAATGGTACAAAGCTGAAACTTGACAACATGCAACAAGATTGAAACTTCATAATATGCTACAAGATCGAAACTTGACAACTTAGTACAAGATCGAAAGTTGAGAATATTTTACTACATTGAAAATGCTGTCAATATGAGCAAAGGTAAATAAATTGTAAGTGTTTTTTTTTAAATTAATTGTTCACCTGTCAACAAAGACAACAGAAATCGTATATTAGCAAGTCTGCATATTTGGCAAGTTCAAGATAAAAACATTTCATCCTGTTGTATTGTCTTTCGTTTATAGGCTACAGGTAAGAATGTGTGTCGGGTGTGAGAAGGGTTGTTGCTATTCAAGCTCGATTGACTGTAATAGTTTAGATGACTCTAATCCATGAATTCCCATCAAATTTATGGTTCGCTTTATTATTTTCCGAGCCATTGAATGTTGTCATTTTTTTTTAATTTCTATTTTCGACTTGAACGACCAAAGTGGCGTAGAATAAAAATGGAGGATATAAAAGAAAACTGCGATGTTCGGCTGACGTGCAAGGAGAACCAGAAACTTCATGGCAACAAAACATTTTATTATAAAACATCTTGTGTTGTGTTAAGTTATTACTTCTTGTATGAGATCATTTCTTATCTGATTTAAGTAGAACGCCTTCAAGGTAATTTAGAAAACAAATTATATAAAAGTTATGATAGCAAAAACAAAACTAGATAAGAATTAAAACAAAACTAGAACAGAACGTGGATATAAAAAACCCTTACACGTGCAAGCTGTTTGATTCCGTTGATTAACTTTCTTGTGGTGAGTTTTGTCAGTCGCGTTAATGATTAGGTTGTAATTAGTTTTGTTTTAAATAATTAAAGACATAATTAACTTACATAAATTAATACCACTATCAATTTTAAAAATGTACCCCTGTATTAAGTATAATTGTAAATTAAAGAAATTAATGTCAGTATATTGTAAAATATATTATCATTGAATATACAACTGTATACACTATTCGATAACATGGTTAAACAAATATACAAAGTACTAGTTATAAAAAATGTAATGACTGGTCGACCATTTAATTATCTTAATGACTTCTGTCAATGTCTACCCAGGTCCTGCTGAAAGATGCTGCCTCTCATCCTCGCCTTTGTTTTCGTCGGCTCCAGCTTGGCTGTTGAGGTGAGGTGCCAGAGTTACTTGGTTACTTTACCTGAGGTTACCTGAGTTACTTGGTTACTTTACCTGAGGTCAGAGGTGTAGCGATGGGGGGGGGCAGGGGGGGGGTACATATGTCCCCGGGCGCCGACCTTAAGGGGCGCCAAAATGGGTTGTAAAAACAAATTTAAATGTCATTTGAGCTGCATTTTTGCACTATAAATAGTTTGAGAGGGGGGGGTGCAAATCGAAAGTTTGAGGGGGGGGGTGCAAATTGAAAGTTTGTCCCCGGGTGACGGGAAGGGTCGCTACGACTCTGCCTGAGGTTACCTGAGTTACTTGGTTACTTTACCTGAGGTTACCTGAGTTAATTTTTTATTTTACCAATGTTTACCGGTATTTGCTAGTTTATCAATTTACCGTAATTTGTTCATTATTTTTCGCAAGTTTACCTGAATTTGTTCATTATTTTTCGCAAGTTTACCAGAATTTGTTCATTATTTTACCCAAGTTTACCAGAATTTGTTCATTATTTTACCCAAGTTTACCAGAATTTGTTCATTATTTTACCTAGGTTTACCAGCTTTTCCTGATATTTTTACGTGAGGTTACCTGAGCTTCTTAATTATTTTATCAAAATCTATGGATTATAATTACCCAAAGTATAGCTAGCAAACACAATTGAAAGTAATATATTAGGATAAAAAAAAAATTAAATATAAAAAAAACAATTAGTTTTAAAAAGAAACAGTTTTTAGTATTTTAATTACGCGGCAATACGCCTTACATAAGTTTTCATTTTAAAAATAGGTTTGACATGTACAACTCAGTTTAGATAACATTTAAATATTATACGTATTGAAATATAAATATCTGCTGTAAAATTTTGAGATCTGTAAAACTGTTGTATGACACTGCCCTTGTATCTCCAGCGTGACATCTACATCCCCCCAATCATCTCCCTCAACCAACTGCTCAGACGCGCGGACGTGCAAGATTTCGAGTGCACCGTCAGCGGCAGGTCAGTCACCATTAGCTGTAGCACCAAGCGTGACGGCGACCAGCAGAGCATCAACATCGGCGGCTTCACCATCCCCATCATCAGCCCCATCCTCCTCAAGAGGGAGACACAAGACGAGTTCACCATTTTCGGAGTCCCCATTTCTGGCACCATCAACGTCACCGTCGGCAAACGTATCTACATCTGCCCCACCACCTACACCGGCACAGTCCTCTCCCCTGTCTGCTTCAGGAAATAAAATGTTAATTAGGTCAAAAGTTAATCTCACGACCAATCACACAAATAATATGACGAAACAAATTTTAATAAAGTCTGTGTTGATTTATTGTAGTGTTTTTTATCACTGTTTTCGTAGCTTTGTTTTTGTAGCTTGATTCCACCATTGTGTTTTTAAAACGGGTCCCTAACTTGGTGGTGTCTTTAAAGTTCTTCATGTGGGTAGAAGAAACGACTAAACATGTGAACATTGTCAAGAGATTTCTATCGTGTCTATTTGATGCCTAGTTCATGTTCTATCTAACAAAATAAGTATCGAGAGTTTCTTCCAGTCTGCCCCCCCCCCCATGCCCCCCCCCCCCCACCCCAAATGGGACGGAGTGGTAAAGAACTGGACTGCTAACCAGTAAGTCTCGAGTTCGAATCCGGGTTCATGTCAGTAGACCGTCCCTGAATCCACCCAACTCTGATGGGTACCTAACTCACGTTAGGGAAAGTAAAGGCGGCTGGGCATAGTGCTGACCACACTATCTCTTCATAAGCCGAGGTCACAGAAACAAGTGAACTCTTACTTATCCCCCACCCTACCCTCCCCGAACGAAATGGAATTTATTCAGAAAATAAATCCTCCATTTCCCCCCCCCCCCTCCCCGGGAAATTTAGAAATTTAGTACGAAAATTTCAAGTGTCCTCCCGGAAAAAAAAGTCTGAAAGAAACACCGTGTTCGATCGATCAAGTGATAAAGTAAATGATTTTATGTCAAACTAGCCGGCCCGGCCAGGCCCTGCTCTGGCTTCTGTGAAAAACCTTTCTGTTAAAGACCATTACCTGTGTGCTTAGTAATCATCATAAACCCGGCATTGCCCACCCAAACCACAACCAACCAAAACAACAAAACGCAAACATAACGCTAACACAATTACAAATACAAACGAAAACAAAAACCTAACAACAAACCCAACCACAACCACAAACACCAATACAAACACAAAGAAAAAACAAACAAAAAAGCAAACGAAAACAAAAACCTAACAACAAACCCAACCACAAACACCAATACCAACAAAAAAAAAACAACGAAAAAGCAAACGAAAACAAACCAAATCCAAACGCAAAACCAACCAAAAACACAAATACAAACCCAAACAAAAAAACACAAACAAAAACGAAAAAAGAAAGAACAAAAACGAACCAAATCAAAACGCAACCACTAACGCAAACCCACCTAAACACAAAGAAAACACTAACGCGAACATAAACGCCCGGGGCGGAATCACCTGTTTTAGCTTAATGAACGACTATAGTACCCCAACTTATTCATAGTCTTTTGCACTCACTTAAACGAACGCGCCTGTTTCAATTTGATGAACAATTATAATACTCCAAGCTTATCCGTAAAATACCTACAACATTTGCACTTGATCAATACCCGCTAATTATGTAATTATTTTTTTTCCCAACACCAAAACAAAGTAATAAAAAAGTAAATTTTTTTCCACAAAATGCAATGGTTTTATAAAGGGAAGTAATTGTGTTTTCCTAATTTATCAAAGGGAAGTACGTGCTATAGGACTAAATAAAGACATAATTAGAATTTTTGTAAAAGATGATATTTTTTTAAAACTTGTGTTTAATGAACATGCCGACAATTATTACTTTAATTTGAAAAATGAAAATTATTTCCCAACACTTTCAATAGTAATTTGTTAACTCATAAATTTAGACAAATGCGCACGATAATTGTCTAACACTTAAATCCATCCAAGACCAACGACAAACATATGCGTTACATACAGAACTGAGCTTTATATATTAGATATGAGATTTTAATTTTTTTATATTTAAGACTTAATAAAATATAAATATTGTTTTTAAACGTAAGAACAATAAAATTGATTTAAATATAATATCATTTGGGGAAATGTCCATTCGGGTATTTGTAGCATTCGGGCAAATGTCCTGAAATGGCCCTTCAGGCATACGGTGTTGGGGAAATATCTGTCGGACATTTGACTAAGACTTCATGCATTCCATTCTCATTCGTCCCTTTACAATTATATTCATGTATGTCCCTTTACAATTATGTTCCTGTATGTCCCTTTACGATAATATTCCTGTATCTCCCTTTACGATAATATTCCTGTATCTCCCTTTACGATAATATTCCTGTATCTCCCTTTACGATAATATTCCTGTATCTCCCTTTACGATAATATTCCTGTATGTCCCTTTACAATTATATTCCTGTATGTTCCTTTACAATTATATTCCTGTATATTCCATTTACCATTGTAAACATTTGCCTGGGGTTATAGGTCAATATTTTGATACATTTGTCTGAGAAATAGAGTTAAGTACGCACGGCCTCTCTAAGTCAGGAAATGTTGGTCAATATTGACATCAGCAAGTAATGGATGATATTTAGGCCAGCTCCATGTTTTTAACTAACCATCGAAAAAGGCGCCGTTCTCTTAAAAAATTTCATAAAAAAAACGTTTTAATAACAAGCTTTTATGTAATAATGAACTAAAAAGTAGAAAATAAATTATAGACTACTATTTAAATAACTAGAAAGAAAAGCGTGGGTCACTTTAGTATCTATTGGATACCTACACTAATGTTTAGGAAGACACCCACGCTTTTCTTTCTAGTTATTTAAATAGTAGTCTATAATTTATTCTCTACTTTTTAGTGCATTATTACATAAAAGCTTGTTATTAAAACGTTTTTTATGAAATTTGTTGTCAGTACTTTACATGTTTTATTTACAACTAGGCATGCTGCCCAGCTTCGCTTAGGCTTTCGAAAACATTGAGAATTTGAATGCTTAATTAATTCGTCGGTCTACGACCTCAAGAGTTATGAAGAGGTTCCTCCGTGGACACTTTTTTTTTCGATTTATAGCTCATATAAGGTACCGGTCAGTCGAGGTCAGTTTTGACCCCCTCATCGTAGACTTTTCGGCCAACCGGCCCCCGTGTTCTGTCGCCCCAAGGCAAGATCCTGCCAAATTTGAAGCGCCTGCGGCGCCGGGAAGTGCCCTATCGGACACCCGACAATCTAGATCTAGATCTAGATTCCTAAAAGATTTTTTTTTTTAAGTTTAGCCCGAGCATAATAAAAAAAAATACATTAACCAAGTTGACTTGGTGTGTCTCGAACCCGCACCACCTGCGTAGTTTAATGTACACTAACATCTTTGCTATTTAGGTACCTTATAATAAGTAGAATGAAACACGTATTTTAAAATCTTAACTTACGCGAATATGCCTATTCTTTCAAATTAATTTTTTTTATCCCAAATTAGCCAGTTCCAAACAAAGATTTTGAATAAAATAAATAAGTCTTGAAATAGTTTAGTCCTAATATAGAAATTTATTTTTGGAATTGATTTTAGAGAAGTTAGAGTCTAAATCTAGATCTTAGCGTCTACGTCTAGATCTAGTTATTGCGTAGATTTAGATTTAGATTTAGTCTAGATCTAGAATCTCTAGATCTAGAATCCAAATACATAAAATAAATTTTATGAGTTTAGGCCGGAAAAATTGTATTGTATACATTTCATAGTGTACGTAGATCTAAATCAAATTTGAATGAAACAGTTCATTTCTTTTCATTCTAAACACGGCAGATGACGTCATTAGTTAATGTATAAGCAATAGTGACGTCACAGTTTTATGCGTTCTTTTTCACATATATTAATGCTTTTCCGGTTGCATAAATAATACTGTTTCTCTACATTCGAATACGCCTTTAATTTTTATTTTTCTTCTTTAACTAAAATTGTGGTTATACATTTAAAACATCTAACATATTATTTTCAACAAAAGTCCGTAAAAAGTTCTTCATATATCGCTGCCGATTCTGACGTGATGTCCGGCGAAAATATTTTGCGGACAGACAGAGAGAGAGAGAGAGAGAGAGAGAGAGAGAGAGAGAGAGATGTGCGAACGTGGGGATTTATATATTAGGATAGAGTTACATGACTAAAAACCATTGCGCGCCTACTGAACATCACGTTCAGTAGGCGCGCAATGGTTTTTGAACGCAGCCATTGAACGTGATGGCGCAGCTATTGAACGTGATGACGCGTGTGGTGTGGTTGCATAAAATGCCTACTAATTCGGTCCAAATTTTAATTAATTCATAAAAAATTAATTAGGCATCCGATTAAGTCAAATTTAGTTTCAGATTGCATTGTCTTCATGTCTTGACCCACGTGTCAAATGTGAATCGTATCTGTCAAGTAGAACTGTCCGAATTTTCACTCCTGCGTTTCGGTCTAGACAGAGTGACGACTGACGACTGACGAGGAAGTGAGTTAAATAAAAGCTTGTAAAAATAGTCAAAGTTGGCGCTTTTGCTCCTAATGATACTCCCCACCTTCTATGTATGGGGAGTATCCACTCCAAAAAAAACCAGTACATTAGTGTCACTATTTCCGTTGCTGATCTTTCTGTTTGTTTTTAAATATAAGAAAAAAGAAAATTTTAATGCTTTTGATAGAATGAAGTATTAGTTAAATTTTAAAAGTAGTGACAAATTATCTGTTGAATATGCATTTTAACTTTCGCTTTATTAGTGACGCATCGAATATAACTAGCGTTGTATTATGATAGAGGAAGGACCGATACAATATAACTAGTGTATGAATTATGCTGGGGGACCGATACAATATAACTAATGTATGTATTATGCTGGAGGAAGGACCGATACAATATAACTAGCGTTGTATTATGCTAGAGGAAGGACCGATACAATGTAATTACATGGATGTATGCTTCATTTGAAATAGTTTTAAAATAGTACATGGCTTTTGTTTTGAGTTTGTTTGGGCTTTAAGCGTCTTTATCGAAATTAAATGCGAAACTAGTCACTTGCCTTCTGAGTTCAGAAAGGAAAATGTGTAAACATTTTTTTATTCCTTTGGGCATTGACATTCATAATGTCCCATCAGCTATTTGAAATGAATACAGAATATATTTTTTGGTTATTTGCAATGAATAAAGATCGCTTTAATTTAATGTTATTTGCAACGAATCCAGATTGTTTAAATTGCTATTAGTCATGAATACAGATTGCTTGAATGATGTTTGCCTATTGACTGCATAAATAAATACACTAATTATATACACCTTTCTTTACATAAAAAAATTACATACTCTTTTAAAATGAACAAAGTACAAATTAAAATTTAATTGCGTTTATCTATTTATCTTGCAGTTGGATATTTTGACCATTATCATTTGAACAAAAGACTTTCTGGTAAACTTTCATGTGACCGTATTTTAAATTTCATAAAAGCGATCATCTATATACTACTAAAACTCAACTTTGTTTACATGTTTGAATATTTATTTGTTTGCCTGATCGACTATTGTGATATGTTCGACTCTATCTGGAAAGCTGTAAAATAGTATGCAGGTAGAGAATAATTTTTTAATGCAGACAGACTGTTGATCACAAATTTATTTAAAGACGTTAATTAATTTATTGATTTATTCATAGTTAAATTAACCGTATTTTTTTAAAAATGTTAATACTTTGAATAAACTTTGTGGGGATAGTGACGTCCCTTGATGTGTTTACATTTTTGATACAATAAAAATGGCGGACCCCATCATAGACTTTGTGGCCCATTCAAAAGTTTAACGCGTTACAAAGCTAATTTTCTGCCGGCTATAACTTAAACAATACGTCCTTTTGCTGTATTTATTACGTTCCAACACTTATATCAATTTTCAACTGTCTTTTTCATTTAGTTTTACGATAAATTTCTCTAGATCTAAAGATCAGCTATCGAAGGAAATTTATGAATCTAGCCTAGATCTAGATCTAGCCTAGATGTAGGTCACTAGATTCAATGTAAATTCTACATCTAGAATCTATTTCAGGCCTTAATTATTTTATATAAATCTTTGTTTGGCTTATTTAAGATAAAATTTAATTTGAAAGTTAGTACTACTAGACTTATTTTTAGATCTAGATCTAGAATCTATACGCGTAAATCAAGTTGCATAAGGAGACACATAGTATAGTATAAAAATTCACTTGTGACGTCACGAGTAAATAGCTAAAATGGTAGCGTAGTCAGCTCTCATGCAGGAGGCACGGGTTCTAGACCAATATGTCAATGAAATTTTTTTTTTAGATGTGAATGATAACGTTGCCTATCTGAACTTGGCAAGATACAGGGCAGGTGAAGTAGAGTTCATCTGTTTCTTTGTCCTAAGCATATGAAAGGATAGTGTGGTCAGATACATGCTCGGCTGGAATTGTTTTTTAAACGATAAAAACATGTTGTCTGAGACTTGGCAGGACACTGGGCAGGTGAAGTAGAGTTGAGTAGGTCACCTGTGACGTCAGTTTATGAAGGGATAGTCCGAAATCGGTGTTTTCGGTGTTTTTAAAAGATAAAAAACATATATTTGAATGTGGGGTCTGTTTTTTGTGACGATAAGTGACACTGCAGTAGCGTACCGAGGAGGGGGGGGGGGGACGGTAGGGGAGGGGAGGCGGGGGGTGGGGAGGGGAGGCGGGGGGGGGGGGGGGGGAAGGGGAGGCGGGGGTGGGGAGGTGGAGGGGGAAGGGGGGGGGGACATATGTTGGGGCGCCAAAATGGTTTGGAAAAATAAATTGATAGGTTGAGGGGGGTTCAAATCGAAAGTTTGAGTGGGGGGGGGGGGGGGGGAATTGCACATCAAAAGTTTGAGGGGGGGGGGTTTCAAATCGAAAACTTTGTCCCCGGGCGCCGGGAAGGGTCGCTATGCCTCTGAGTGACAGACGTGATGTTTTTTGATGGATGACCCCCGAAACCCACAGTTATCCAACGGATGACGGGTATTCTAGTTTCATTTAAAATTTTCGCCACATCTTATCAGTTTTATCACTAGCCACGATTTGTTTGGTACCGGTCACGAGTAATTTTAAAAAGCAGACGTCAAGTATAAATGTAAACTTTATCAGCAGACGACAAGACGTTTGGTTATTTTTTTCTGGTGAGTCGAACCGTGTGGTGACTTTGTTGTTTTTTTTTTTTTGGTTGTTGTTTCATACTTGGGTTTTTAGTTTGACTAATAAGGTTGAAAAATGATTGAGTTAAATATGACCACAGTGAAGAATGGGTAGCACAATAATAAATCCACGGGTCACACGACCAAACCATTTCAGCAAATGCTGTTTTAATGCTGACTACATTATATTGAGAATCATAATCGCATACACTTTTACACTTTTCTATACAACACTTGTATTTGCAAATATATTACAAAATAAACGGTTTATTTTAAATTAGCGAACAATTTAAATTACTAGTTTTATTTAATCACAAATATACCCCACGACTAAGTCACGTGATTTGTGTTAGATCCAGTGAACTAAAACCTTCAGCTCCACACGATGCTCCCTTTGATCTTTGCCCTTGTGTGTGTCGGCTCCAGTTTGACTATAGAGGTGAGTATCATGATAAGTGTGTGGTGTCATGGGTTAAAGTATCATGATAAGTGTGCGGTGTCATTGGTTAAAGTATCATGATAAGTGTGTGGTATCATGTGTTAAAGTATCATGATAAGTGTGTGGTGTCATGGGTTAAAGTATCATGATAAGTGTGTTGTATCAAGGTTAAAGTATCATGATAAGTGTGTGGTATCATGGGTTAAAGTATCATGATAAGTGTGTGGTATCATGGGTTGAAGTATCATGATAAGTGTGTGGTATATTTGGTTCGAGTATCAAGATATTCGTAAGTTATCCTGGGTTAGAGTATCACGATAGGTGTGTAATATTTGGCTTAAAGTATCATGATAAGTGTCTGGTATCATGAATTAAAGTATCATGTTAGGTGTGTGGTATATTTGGTTCGAGTATCAAGATATTCGTAAGTTATCCTAGGTTAGAGTATCACGATAGGTGTGTAATATTTAGCTTAAAGTATCATGATAAGTGTGTAGTATCTTCGGTTAGAATACCATGATAGGCGTAAGTTATCCTGGGCTAGAGTATCATGATATATGAGTGTTATCCTGGGTTTTTGTATCATGATAGGTGTGTACTAGCAGGGATGTTGTGAGTTACATGCTATCAGTAAAGCTGTATTTGCCTATATTCTAAATTCAATCTAATTAATCACTGACACAGTTTGTTTTCATCTGATAAAGCATTGTGTGGCAAGTGTTTATTTACAGTGGTTGCCATGGCACGCCATCATTTTGAATGTCCTGTTGTTAATATAACTAAGGGTTTACACTTCTTCGTCTATTTTAACTTCCTTCTAATCTTCAGAAACGTAACACTGTGTCCCCCGTAGCTATGGCAACCTATTTTTTCCACCCCAGTCTTCAGTTTCAAAATATCAACTCTGTAATATTTTGTTACTATTCTTGTTTGGCCCAACTTTTGTCTAACCTGGTCACGTGATGACCCCCAGCAACAAGACTTCTCTCCACCCCCGGGCTGGCCACTGACTGACCTCCTCAGGGAAGCCGCGGACGTCCAGGATATCGAGTGTCACGTGACCGTCAAGTCGGTCACCATTGGCTGCAACTTCAAGCGGGAAGCGGAGCAGCAGAGCATCAACTTCCTCGGCATCGACTTCCCCATCCTCTCTCCCATCTTGAGGGAGACGCAGGAATTTGACATCTTCGGAGTGCCAGTGTCCGGCTCTATTCAAGTGACCATCGGCAGACGTCAGTTCAACTGCACCATCACTCTGGGTAGCCACTACTATCCATTGTGTAATATTATTTAAAGTGTATTACTCTTTCAAATAAATAAAATAAATTAAATACGATGTATTGTTGTTATTTTAGACGCGTTGAGATTTATTGTAACATGACATTTGACTAAAGAGTGGGTACGAAATGTCATTGAATGTTAAATTACCTATAATAGGATGAATTGAAACGTTCAGAAAATCATCACATAACTTTAAATATGTTTTATAGAATAAAACATCAAATTCTTATATCTTTTATATCTATTATTAATTTCTAATTACAACATTTCTATTATTACGCTGTAATACTCTGTAATACTCTGTAATACTCTATAATACTCTGTAATACTCTGTAATACTCTGTAATACTCGGTAATACTCTGTATAAGGCGGTGTGATTGAGTAGTAGAGCGCTGGACAGGAAGTCCCTGAGTGCACGCAGCCATAATGGGTACCTGACTTACGTAAGGTAAAGTAAAGGCGGATGGGAGTAGTGCTGACCTTACTATCTCTTTGTATGCCAAGGTCCCGAAACAAAAATTCTACCTCATATGATCCATGGATCGTCAGGTTTGAGAGGGGAACTTAATTGACTTATACTCGAGGCATGTGCTTCGAGGTTAAATTACTCGGGTGTAATAAACATCACAACTATTACAAATAATCGATTTAGTCACAAATGCGAAACAAACAGTGAATTACAACTGACGAGCGATACAAATAATGGTCATTTATAATTCAAGCAATGCAGTATAAATGAACAATACTAAAACACACTTAAATTTATACAACATTACATAGTATCATCACTCCACATTACACTGTAACATTACACCACAGTACACTGTATCATTAATTACACCACAGTACACTGTATCATTACACCACAGTACACTGTATCATTACACCACAGTACACTGTATCATTACACCACAGTACACTGTATCTGATATTGAATGAAGAAGATTTTCCAAGCTGCACAAGTTTTACATTCAGACAACAAAAATCAATTTGGTGAAAATATTCAGTGGACCAATCTGTAAATATTAATCAATTACTCTTGGTAATTTTGTGCACATTTCTAAACGGCTATTTTTTACACTAAACTAGGTTTGGTCAAGGCGTATAGATATTTTTTATTTTTTTTTTAGGGTGGGGGGTGCAAATCGAAATCTTGAGGGGGGGGGGGGTGCACATCAAAAGTTTGAAGGGGGTGCATATAGAAATCTTGCCGGGGGGGGGGGGGGCGGGGGGGTTCAAATTGAAAAGTTTGTCCCCGGGCGCAGAAAATGGTCGCTACGCCTCTGAGTGACAGACGTGATGTCATTTATGGATGACCCCCCCCCCCGAAACCCACAGTTATCTAACTAGATAACGGGTAGTCTAGTTAGACTAATTTGCTTGAATTACCTCTTTTTATCGATTATGTTGCTATGGCTAGAGTTACCTCATCATATGAATTATGTTGCTATGGCTATAGTTACCTCGTCATATGAATTATGTTGCTATGGCTAGAGTTACCTCGTCATATGAATTATGTAGCTGGAGTTACCTTGCCATGTTGCCATACCTGTTCTAGATCATAAGACTATCACATGAAATGCTAGAGCTTCTGATATAAATTTTAGCAAGACAACACAACGCTAAACCTATCACAGTGATGTAACATGTTACCTTTCTTGCACAGACCAGATATGTACGGTATGTAACAGAACCATTCGCTTTGTTTTTATTTTCTCGTATGCAGAGTATAGTGAAGTATTGTGTGGGTGTGTGTGGGTGTATGTGTGTGTGTGTGTGTGTGAACACAATAACTTGAGTACCTTTTCCGTTAGGTTATTTAAAAAATCTCAATTAAAAGTATTATATCCCATTTATAAATTTCCATCAACTTTTAAGTAGTTTCTGGAAACCTGATGTGGTAATTTTTAACTAAAGATATCTCAAAAGTCAATAACTCGGTATCGTTAGAGTTTAGTGGACGAAATCTCACAAAAAAGTATATTGTTTTGTTTTTCGGAAGGTTTCTCTCATTTTATATACGATTTTCCGTTATCGGAATGGGTACTTTACTCTTTTTCATGGTGAACACGAGACTTTTTGTACTGTATTAGTTAGACGACATTTCATTATCAGTATATGATTTTATACCTTAACTACTTTGAATGCTTTAGTAACTCCGATACACGGAAATAGGACTCTCTTTCCGATCTCTCAAAAACCTTCAAAATTTGATACAATTTTAAAATATTCTCATAAAGAATACTCTACGATCTTTTCGCCTCTAGGCATTTTCTCGAAGAATGAGCGGTTTTGTCACAAACTTCCTTATTTCTGTTGCTCCATTGCACTGGAAATGTCGTCCCGACTTTTATTTGCTTGAAAAAATGTATGAAAACGTTTAGGGAAATATTTTGATCCCATGTTTTGATTCGAGAAGATAAATCTCCGCACAAATGTGCTATATATTTTGATAATATTTACATTTTGTAAAAGCTTAAATGTAACAGAAACCTCGCGTTTTCATATCTAATCTAATGTTTAGCCGAAATCTAGCCTGTACTTATTTAATCTAATATGAAACAGAAACATTGCCTTTATATATTAAAGTTTATCTGTAACATAAACATGTCCTGTATACATTTAAATTTATTTGTATCAGAAACATTGCCTGTATATATTTATGTGTATATTATGTAACAGACACCTACCCTATACATATTTAAGTGTATATGTAACAGACACCTACCCTGTACATATTTAAGTTTATATGTAACAGAAACATTGCTTGTATATATTTAAGTGTATATGTAACAGAAACATTGCCTGTATATATTTAAGTTTATATGTAACAGACACCTACCCTGTACATATTTAAGTTTATATGTAACAGAAACATTGCCTGTATATATTTAAGTTTATATGTAACAGACACCTACCCTGAACATATTTAAGTTTATATGTAACAGAAACATTGCCTGTATATATTTAAGTTAATATGTAACAGACACCTTGCCTGTAGATATTTTAGCTTGTATGTGGCAGAAACTGAACCTGTTTAAAAAAAAAAAAAACATCCTTATCTCTTATCAGGAATATGACTACATAACGACCTGACTGTAATCACGAAGTTGTTGATGTGAATAATTTAAAATGTTGCCGTTGTACACAAAATAAAAAAAGTAAAAACACGCTTTTTATTGCACGAAACAAAACTAACCACATATAAATAACGCCATTTAAATCTGCTTTTCGTTCATCACCTGGCTTTCTTTCAGTGAGTCAGTTCATTCTTTTGTCTTGTTTAAAATTTAAAAAAAATGTTATTTTCATTTAGTTAATTAGGAAATACATAGTGTTTTATTTTACTTTCCCAAAGACCAATAATTCAGGTCTAACCTAACAAATTTCAAAAGTTGAAACTTCATAAAAAAAAAAAATTGATGTTAAGAGATATTCTATTGCGAAACTTTAAGAATTCTATTGTGACATACCGTTTTTAACGTGATAAAACCATTAGCACGTTAAACGCTGTGGTCTATAGGAAAATAGAGTAGAATCTAAAATAACAAAGTGAAATGGTGCGTTTCTTTCAGTTGTAGCCCAGACAAGTCACAGGTTCTCAAGATGTTTGCCTTGGTCCTCGCTTTTCTGTTGGTCGGCACAAGTTTTGCAGTGGAGGTGAGTCCACCTTTACAGGTTTATGTCGTAAATTTATGATTCCACCATTACATGCAGGTTTATGTCGTGAATTTATGATTCCACCATTACATGCAGGTTTATGTAGCGAGTTTATGATTCCACCATTACATGCAGGTTTATGTCGTGAATTTATGATTCCACCATTACATGCAGGTTTATGTAGCGAGTTTATAAGTCCACCATTACATGCAGGTTTATGTAGCGAGTTTATGATTCCACCATTACATGCAGGTTTATGTAGCGAGTTTATGAGTCCACCATTACATGTAGGTTTATGTAGCGAGTTTATGAGTCCACCTTTACAGGTTTATGTCGTGAATTTATGATTCCACCATTACATGCAGGTTTATGTAGCGAGTTTATAAGTCCACCATTACATGCAGGTTTATGTAGCGAGTTTATGAGTCCACCATTACATGCAGGTTTATGTAGCGAGTTTATGATTCCACCATTACATGCAGGTTTATGTCGTGAATTTATGATTCCACCATTACATGCAGGTTTATGTAGCGAGTTTATGATTCCACCATTACATGCAGGTTTATGTCGTGAATTTATGATTCCACCATTACATGCAGGTTTATGTAGCGAGTTTATGATTCCACCATTACATGCAGGTTTATGTAGCGAGTTTATGATTCCACCATTACATGCAGGTTTATGTCGTGAATTTATGATTCCACCATTACATGCAGGTTTATGTAGCGAGTTTATGAGTCCACCATTACATGCAGGTTTATGTAGCGAGTTTATGAGTCCACCATTACATGCAGTTTTTTTGTAGTGAGTTTTATGAGTCGACAATTACATTCAGGGTTATGTCATGATTTTTAAAGAATTTTTTTCATCCCTTGTTTGATGACAAGTCGTCTGACAAACTTCTGCTGTTGAAATAAATTTCAGATTCTACAGGTGACACAAGCGTTTTCTCCTATCTGTCCATTATTTTCAATTATAAGACTAATTACTAGTTTTATCCCTGAAGCTAGTTCTGATATTTTATACCCGGCATACGAAGAAATAGTAAAATGATTAGTCTCGTGGCCGAGCTGTCTCGAGCAAGCTCGACAATCTTATGCTAAAGTCTCGTGATGGTTTTGTCTAAGCACACAATTTATTGTCTGGCAAACACTACCACCAATGATTCGATTTACTCGCTACTGACAACCAGCTTTGCAAATATTATGACTATATCGCTTAATGCAAAACCTCTTCAGTAATTGTATAGATCAAACAATCAAGCTATATTGCTTTAACAACAATTTCATAAAAAAACGTTTTAATAATAAGCTTTTATGTAATAATGCACAAAAAAAGTAGAAAATAAATTATACACTACAATTAAAATTATTATAAAGAAAAGCGTGGGCCACTTTACTAATATTTAGGAAGAGACCCATGTTTTTACATGTTTTTATTTACAATAGAGTTACATGACTAATAAAAGCTTGTTATTAAAGTTATGACATTTTTTTAGTACTTTACGTGTTTTTTATTTGCAATAGAGTTTCATGACTTAAAACCATTGAACGTGATGACGCGCTTTTGCCGTGATGACGCGTGTGGATAGAACTGCCTACTAATTTTGTCAACATTTTAATTAATTCATAAAAAATTAATTAAGCATCCAATTAAGTCAAATTTAATGTCACGAGGCATTGTCTTCATGTCTTGACCCACGTACAAATTAAGAACCGTATCTATCAAGTAGAAGCGCGTGCTGACGACAGACTGACGAGGAAGTGAGTTAAACAGAGGGGGGGTAGGGGGGTACATATGTCCCCGGGCGCCGACCTTAGGGGGCGCCAAAATGGGTTGGAAAAACAAATTAAAATCTCATTTTAGATGCAGTTTGTCATTATAAATATAAAAAAATATATGGGGGGGAGTGCAAATGGAAAGTTTGAGGGGGGGGGGGTGCAAATTGAAAATTTGTCCCCGGGCGCCGGGAAGGGTCGCTACGCCTCTGGAGTTAAATAAAAGCTTGTAATAAAAATGAATCATTCGTATTCGCTGGTCAGATAATCGATTATTTTATGAACTACCTTGGTTCAGAAATATGTCAATTAAAATAGTGATCTTCTTCTTCTCTTCTTCTTAAACCCGTTCGTGCCAAAGATACATGGGGCAGTTGAAGTATAGTTCATCTGATTCATTGACCTCGCCATATGAAGGAAAAGTGTAGTCATCACTATGCCCAGTCGCCGTTTCCCTAAGTTAGGTACCCATCAGAGCTGGGTGGACTCAATGACGTTTCCACTTATTTGAACCCGGATTCGAGACTCTTGGGTTACCGATGTAGCTCTCTATCGCTAGGCCACGTCGTCCCTTAAAATAATAATACTCGCTAATTTGTTTTGTATTGAGACTGTAAAGTAAATGTCCAAAAGCACTGTTTGTTTCCTCTATTAGAGAGACGTGCTGAACGTCCCACCTCTACTCAACATCCTGCGTGACGTAGACAGCCAGGACATCACGTGCTCCGCCTCCTTCCCCTCGATCAGCATCTCCTGCAGTGTCAAGAAAGACATCCAGTCTGCCTTTGTCAACATCCTGGGTCAGGATATCCCCCTTATCTACAGTCGAGACACGCAGGACATTGATATCTTTGGGATCCCTGTGTCTGGCAGTGTCACTATCAGTGTGGGGGGTAAGCGGCTGATCGGCTGCCCAATAACCTTTAACCCTCTCCCAGTCATGAACTGTATTTTGTGAAAGATTCACACTTGAGCGGCACCTAATGCTGTGTTCACAATAAAGTGCTTCAACATCTTCTTGTGTTTCTTTGTTTTTACATTAACATATTCGTTTTATAATGTAACATTTCACATGAATCATTCTGGATGAAGACATAGAAAGGAAATCATTACAACACTAATTAGGGAAAAGTAATCAAGCAAAGACCATAGTATTGACTTGAGTATAGAGAGTTGGGTAGGTCAGGGATAACATTTAGCCAAACCTTATGACAAGAATATAGCAGAAGTTTGGGTCAGTTATGACAAGAAAATAGCAGAAGTTTGGGTCAGTTATGACAAGAATATAGCAGAAGTTTGGGTCAGTTATGACAAGAATATAGCAGAAGTTTGGGTCAGTTATGACAAGAATATAGCAGAAGTTTGGGTCAGTTATGACAAGAATATAGCAGAAGTTTGGGTCAGTTGTGACAAGAATATAGCAGAAGTTTGGGTCAGTTATGACTAGAATATAGCAGAAGTTTGGGTCAGTTATGACAAGAATATAGCAGAAGTTTGGGTCAGTTGTGACAAGAATATAGCAGAAGTTTGGGTCAGTTATGACAAGAATATAGCAGAAGTTTGGGTCAGTTATGACAAGAATATAGCAGAAGTTTGGGTCAGTTATGACAAGAATATAGCAGAAGTTTGGGTCAGTTATGACAAGAAAATAGCAGAAGTTTGGGTCAGTTATGACTACAAGACAGGAAACGTTCTAGCAGAACTAACTAAAAGAAAATGTAATAATTAGCTTAGGAGATGATACACTACCACCAACATTCGGACTTCTACAACTTCTTTCATACAGATAAACGTGATCGAGATTAAAGATTTTATCCGTCTCTATTTGATGCAAGTAAAAGATCTTGCACGGTAGCTCTAGACTACTTTAAAATATTTAAATTAATTAATATTATAAATATCAAAATATCTATAAGGTCTAGGTTTTGAATTTTTTTATTTAAACTGATTATATTTTAAAGCTTAGATTTTTTATATAATGAGGAAAAAACATTTTAGACAAACGTCTACGAAATGTTAGTAATATAATTCTAGATTACATTAAAGCGTATGTTTATTTCGTTAAAGTTGTGTTCGTGAATCTTTGTTTTTCTTTTATACTCTCTTTGCCAAATGTGTAGACGCCATCTTTGTGTATTGTTGTGTGTCGGCCATTGTTGAAAGTAATGTAAACACAGCGACCATGGTAAGACAGAAGCAGAGCGAGCTGGTTTGTGGTGACTGACTGAGGTATGACCTAGATAGGAGGCCATGTCACCAGAGACCCGACTTTTCTAGAAGACTCTTGGACTTTGCTGGAGTTGGCTCGGCTCTTTATGGGGCTCCTGCAGGTCAGATTAAGTTATTTATGGGGCTCCTGCAGGTCAGATTAAGTGGTAATCTATCGTTTTGGGTACGTAAAATCGCCCGCGGCTATTTATGTACGAAAACGTTACCTCATTGTCAAGGCTTTAATAGAAGTATATTGTCATATGTTTGTGTCAAATATTTTAGATAAATGAATAATAAACCTAAATCAATCGCTAAATATATCGATATAGGCCAGAAATTAACTTTAAACAGCAGTGTCTGAGAGCAAGATTTACTATATAAACAGCAGCCATTTGTAAAATAGAGTGGCTTCCCCCTGAATCTGGCGCTAAAAGCTTATAAAAATAAAACTTAGACAAGATGGCTGCTATAGTAAATGAGCATGGTTGCATCTGTTGGAAACATCGCTAGTCTTCATTTATTACGGAAAAGTTTTAATTCAATTGTTTAAAAACAGGTACATAAATGAATCAAGGAAACATTTTTGAATTTTTTAAAACATAAATCCTCCTCAAAATGTGAAATAATTATTAAAATTTAAGGAGTCACCTGTTTTTCACATTACAAATCGCGGGCGATTTTACGTACCCAAAACGATAGATTACCGATTAAGTTATTTATAATAATGGAGGAAATGTTTCTTTTGCGATTAAACGTACTCATACTTTATACCGACAACTAAATTCCATATCCTGCCCAGCAGAGTTTCTTCAAGGAATCTCTTCGGCCTCCGCCCCCCCCCCCCACCCTGGAGATTGAAGAAAGTCTACCCCCCCCCCCCCCGGACGAGATGGAATTTATATAGTAAACACACACTTTTACTAGTGTCCGCCCCCCCCCCCCCCCCCGAAAAATGTAGAACGCCCCCCCCCCCCCTCCCCCGGAGAAAAAAGCCTGGAAGAAACACTGCTGCCTAGTGACTATTGTAATAATGTAATCACGTCCAATGCTTCATACATGGTCGGATTATCATAATCATTCATTATGGTTATAGCTTAAGTTCAGGTAAGGGTTAAGTAGGGCAGTTAAGGTTCGTGCTAGATGTTGTCTATGGGCCAGATAAGGACAGTTAAGGTTAGTGCTAGATGTTGTCTATGGGCCAGATAAGGGCAGTTAAGGTTAGTGCCAGATGTTGTCTATGGGCCAGATGTTGTCTATGGGCCAGATGAGAGCAGTTAAGGTTAGTGCCAGATGTTGTCTATGGGCCAGATGATGGCAGTCAAGGTTAGTGCCAGATGTTGTCTATGGGCCAGATGAGGACAGTTAAGGTTAGTGCTAGATGTTGTCTATGGGCCAGATGAGGACAGTTAAGGTTAGTGCTAGATGTTGTCTATGGGCCAGATGAGGACAGTTAAGGTTAGTGCTAGATGTTGTCTATGGGCCAGATGAGGACAGTTAAGGTTAGTGCTAGATGTTGTCTATGGGCCAGATAAGGGCAGTTAAGGTTAGTGCCAGATGTTGTCTATGGGCCAGATAAGGGCAGTTAAGGTTAGTGCCAGATGTTGTCTATGGGCCAGATGAGGACAGTTAAGGTTAGTGCTAGATGTTGTCTATGGGCCAGATGAGGACAGTTAAGGTTAGTGCTAGATGTTGTCTATGGGCCAGATAAGGGCAGTTAAGGTTAGTGCCAGATGTTGTCTATGGGCCAGATGAGGGGACGAGTGTTAGAATAGCGAGACTTGCTCAAGTAAAAAACTTGTGAGCGTCCACCATATGTTGTCTTTTTTATTTTACATTTAGTCCAAAGTGGTTTTGACGCTACAGGCAAAAACTTCATTCTAAGTGGTAACATGGTAGTGGTGTTTATAATACAAGCAAATACTTAATGCTAAATGGTAACATAATGGTGGTGTTGATGATACAGGCAAATACTTAATGCTAAGTGGTAATATAATGGTGGTGGTGTCGCCAATAAAATGCTTGTAGTTAGGTTTACTTGGTGCCTTACTCATCAAACCATACCTTATTGGATAATGCGATGACGTGTGTTTTAAATGTACGTCGATATATATAGTTATATCGGGTGATGTCAGCGTTGTTACTTAGACTGCACATTCCGTGTATATAGTGACTTCATACAAAGTGATAAACTCTTTTCCATCTCAACTCTGGCTCCCTTTTTTGTAGACTTGCCTATATATTCAGTATTCTTTATAAATAAAATACTTTTTTTCAACATTCCTAAATTGCAAGTGAATGAAAAATAGCGTTAAAGATTGATTGTTAAATGTACTGTACTGTTTACATTAACATACAGTAAGATCAGATGTTGCTTATAAAGTTAGATCAGTAGTTTTTATATTTTAGAGATTTCTATAGGAGTAAAACTGTAAACATTTTTCATCAGAATACTTTATGAGGACTTTGATAGAATGAACAAACCTGAGTCAGTGGTCAGCCTCCCGCCAGGTGTACCTGCAGCACCGGACAGCAACAGGTGCAGTCTCAGGGAACTCCTGCACAAGCTGACAGCATTCAGCCACGACAGACAGGACAGCTCGGGGTCAGGGGATCACCTGATCACGTCACGTGATCAGGTGCCTGATGCGTGCCGGAGTTTAGTCGACCGGCAGTTGACGGTGCCGGCAAAATGTCCGGACAGGAGAACACAGTACCACCACCTGGAGGGCTCCAGCCCGCGTCGTGTCACGTCACAGCCGCTCAAGCTACGTCAGAAGCACCAGCTGCGCCGTGACGTCATCTCGTCGGTGGGTGACCCGGATCACGTGTCCTACCTCCACAAGAGACCGGAAGACGGTAGGAGCTCACACGCGCAGAGCAGGGGGGATTCGAACCTGGAGGGTTTCAACGCTGTGAAGATGGAGAAAATACAGGAGAGGCCTAGCCGAGGCCAATCGTGTCATGCCCGCAATACATCACCTCAGTCACTAGGTCAGTCGGTAGGTCAGCCGGTAGGTCAGTCACTAGGTCTGTCACTAGGTCAGCCGGTAGGTCAGCCGGTAGGTCAGTCACTGGGTCAGTCACTAGGTCTGTCACTAGGTCTGTCACTAGGTCAGTTATTAGGTCAGTCACTAGGTCAGTCACTGGGTCAGCCGGTAGGTCAGTCGCTAGGTCAGTCGGTAGGTCAGTCACTAGGTCAGTCATTAGGTCAGTCACTTGGTCAGTCACTAGGTCAGTCACTGGGTCAGCCGGTAGGTCAGTCGCTAGGTCAGTCGGTGGGTCAGCCGGTAATTCAGCCGGTGGGTCAGCCGGTAGGTCAGCCGGTAGGTCAGTCACTGGGTCAGTCACTGGGTCAGCCGGTAGGTCAGTCGCTAGGTCAGTCGGTGGGTCAGCCGGTAATTCAGCCGGTGGGTCAGCCGGTAGGTCAGCCGGTAGGTCACTCGCTGTTCCACCAGCCAACTCCCACGGAAACACCCAATAAAAAACTGCCGGTTCCATGCTTGCCGTGCCAGCCGGCTTTCAACGTCTTACCCAGTCAATCGGCCATTTCCAGAATCCCTAGTCGGTCAGCTACATACGGCTTAACCAGTCAGCCGGAAATTTCCGGTTTTCTCAGTCAACCGGCTCCACATGACCTGCCCAATCCGGCTCCACATAGCTTGCCCAGTCAACCCGCAAATTCCGGCTTCTCCAGTCAAGTATCTTTATACGACCTGTCCTGTCCAGCGGCTCCTGTGGTCAGTGTCGCCCCACCAGTGCCCACCCAGCTGCCTGCCCCGCTGCCTGCCCTCCAGGACAAGCCCAACCCCCAGCGTCCCCCTGATCTCCCCGGCTCTCAGGGTATGAGACCCACTCAGCCCAGAACATGCGCCTCTCACACGAGCTTTGTCAAGTGTGAGGCTGGAAGATTCCAAGTGATTTCACACAGCATCAGCCAACTCAAGGCAAATACCGGCCAACATAGGCGGGACACAGGCCAACATAAAAAACATCTTAAAACGGACATGAGCAAAAGTCCGAATGACATGAGCCATGAGAAAAGGGACATGAGAGATCAGAAGACGGACATGAGGCAACTTAGAACGGACATGAGCCAACAGAAGATGGCAATGAGAAATGAAAAGGCCTACATGGCGGACTTTACCCATTCTAAAACGGACATGAGCAAAAGTCCGAATGACATACGACAAGAGAAGGCGGACAAGAGCCATTACAGGACGGACATGAGCCATCAGAGTACGCACGTGAGCCATGAGATGACGGAAATGAGCCGTCAGAGTACGAACAGGAGCCATCAGAGTACGCACGTGAGCCATGAGAAGACGGCGATGAGCCATCAGAGTACGCACGTGAGCCACGAGAAGACGGAGATGAGCCGACAGAGTACGCACGTGAGCCATGAGAAGACGGCGATGAGCCATCAGAGTACGCACGTGAGCCATGAGAGGACGGACGTGAGCCATGAGAGTACAGACATGAGCCATCAGAGGACGGAGATGAGCCGACAGAGGATGCACATGAGCCGCGACAAGGCTAGCACCTGCCGGTACCCTCTAACCATGGAAAATATATTGTCCAGCGAGGTCTCTACGGTAATACTTTGTTGTCTTCATAGTCAGCTTTAGGGGTCATCCGTATGGGCAGCATTGGGGGTCATCTGTATGGTCAACTTTAGGGGTCATCCATCCATGTCGTGGTCAGCTTTATGGGTCATACATATTGTCAGCTTTATAGGTCATCCATTTTGATCAGCTTTAGGGGTCATTCATATGATCAGCTTTAGGGGTCATTCATATGATCAGCTTTAGGGGGCATCCATATGATCAGCTTTAGGTGTCATCCATATGATCAGCTTTAGGGGTCATCCATATGATCAGCTTTAGGGGTCATCCATATGGGCAGCTTTAGGGGTCATCCATATGGTCAGCATTGGGGGTCATCCTTATCCTGGTAAGCTTTAGGGGTCATCTATATGATCAGCTTTAGGGGTCATCCATTTGATCAGCTTTAGGGGTCATCCATATGATCAGCTTTAGGGGTCATTCATATGGGCAGCTTTAGGGGTCATCCATATGGGCAGCTTTAGGGGGCATCCATATGGTCAGCATTGGGGGTCATCCTTATCCTGGTAAGCTTTAGGGGTCATCTATATAATCAGCTTTAGGGGTCATCCATATGATCAGCTTTAGGGGTCATCCATATGGGCATCTTTAGGGGTCATCCATATGGTCAGCATTGGGGGTCATCCTTATCCAGGTAAGCTTTAGGGGTCATCTATATGATCAGCTTTAGGGGTCATCCATATGATCAGATTTAGGGGTCATCCATATGGGCAGCTTTAGGGGTCATCCATATGATCAGCTTTAGGGGTCATCCATATGGACAGCTTTAGGGGGCATCCATATGGGCAGCTTTAGGGGTCATCCATATGATCAGCTTTAGGGGTCATCCATATGGACAGCTTTAGGTGTCATCCATATGGGCAGCTTTAGGGATCATCCATATGATCAGCTTTAGGGGTCATCCATATGATCAGCTTTAGGGGTCATCCATATGATCAGCTTTAGGGGTGGTCCATTATAATAAACCTAAGCAAAGGGGAGTGGAATTTAAAAGATTAACATCGGTAATTTCAAAATTTTAAATGGGGAGGGGATCCATGTGGTGCTAGAGACCCCACTTAACTCTCCCTCTCTCTCTCTCTCTCTCTCTCTCTCTCTCTCTCTCTCTATTTCTCTCTCCCCCTCCTCTCTATCTCTCTAGGTCGCTGCTTAATAAAACAAATTTTTTAAAAAGCTAATATGTATCTGAATGATGAATCGTTTACTTTAAGGATGTTTTATTAGAATTGAAGTCAAAAGTTGAATTCAAAATTGACTGAGAAGCCTTTGAAGTGAAATTAAATAAATAGATAGCAGCTACGTCCAATAGATCAAAATTATACATACTCTTCAATTTTAAAACTGCACTGTATTTTTAAATGCAAAAAAAAATTCTTTACAAAAATGCTGTAATAACAGGGTACCTCGGCTATTAAAAAGAACCCCACATTAAAATAGGGCTTCTGTCCACCCTAAATTCACGAGTATTCGATTACTTCTCTCTCCCAGTATTGCCGTGGATGTGCATCTGTAAGTCGAGTACGTGAGTGGTTGGAATCGATTCCAGACACGACAGAGAGCAGCAGCCTGTTGCATCACGTGATCCAGCAGCAAGGCATCCCAAGTTCACCCCACCCCTACATCAACTCGGCCCCCAGCCCCCCTCATCTGTACATCAACAACTCGGCCAGGGTGGAGGGGCTGGTCAAGGTGTTGCCAGCCAAGCTCAACACCCGCGCCCTCACAGAGGACGCCAGACGCTGCCCCGTCCACAAGCACGACATCAGCTTCAACACCATCATGGACGCATCCAGGGTGGCCTTTGATTTCTGTCCCCCCACGCCCCGCCCCAGCCCCTGTACGAGCTCCATAGCTCTCCAGTTGTACACAGCCGTTGCTGGGACCAGGCCACAGAACACAAAACCACAGAACCACACCAAACCTAAACACGAGGCTCAATGTCCACACGAGGCAAAACCTCAAATCGAGGCTAGGTCACAAAATGAGACGAAAGTTCAAAATGAGACCAGCACACAAAATGAAACCAGGTCTCGAAGCGAGATAAGGTCACAAAACGAGATAAGGTCACAAACTGAGGCAAGGTCACAAAAAGAGACAAAGTCACAAATCGAGACAAGGTCACAAATCGAGACAAGGTCACAAAACGAGACCAAACCTCAGAATGAGACTGTTAGTCACATCGAGGCTCACCAGGTGGGTGGGGCAGGTTCCAGCCTAGCTACCCTCGGGTACCTGCAGCGCTCCACCCAGCAGAACATAAACGTCGTGTGCAGGAGGCACCCCACTCATCTAGACGCCAAAAACAAAAAGACAGACATCAAACAAAAGTTTGCCAAGAAAAAAATTGGCAAACTTACAATAAAGAAGGATAAAAAAGTCCCAAAACTTCCAGCTTCCTTGCCGACCCCTGTTCATAAAAGTAACACAAAGCGAAAGAAAAAACCAAAGAAAAAACCTCATAAAACAAAAAGCCAGGCGTCCAAGTTTCTAGAATTTGCGATCAGAGCTTTCCGTGGAGAGTTCGAGTCACTGAATCAACTGAGCTACCCCGTGTTGCTTGACCCTCACGCAACGGACAGCGAATCCTCCAAGTCCGTGGAAAGCCAAGCGCCGAAGACGAGGCCGACAAAACTTAACTTTATGAAGGTCAAGCCTGACTAAGGTCCAAAGTCATTAGTGCTAAACGAATAAAATTATTTCCAAATATCTTTTCTTCTCTTGTGTCTGGCGCCTGTCTGCAGAGAATAATCATAGAAAATGTATCGTGAATTCCACGCGAATTTTTAATAGTAATTAATGTGTCTGTTTTTTTTTTGTGTGTTTAATAAAATTCCTTACTTACTGTCTACCCTGTTCGCACAGGGAGGCAGCAAGAGAAGGTTGCATGATTATACATATTATACAAGTTGCATTTCTAATACAAAACGTCTAAAATTATCTTGAGCCGTTTAAGTTATTCTAGTGTTTCTTTGGTTTTGCATCTTGGGCGTTCGGATGAAGGTTTTTTGTATGCTCCTGTATTCCCTCTAATGGGAGGGTTACTGTGCATACGTTACAATCGTACATTTGTATGCAGGGATGGTTTTCTTCGTAGTGTTGAAGTATGTCCATAATGGGATTTTTGTATCTACAAATTTTGCACTGCTTGAATCGTTCGTGTTTTATGCTTTCGTGCTTCTACAGTTCATATGCTTCTTCGAAGCGTTTGGTGCAGAATTTGCACTGTGTTTTGTCGTGAGTTATCCTTGTGGGTTTAAGGCTTTTTGTTATTTGTTTAGTTTCTGTGGGACTATCTTCTTTTTACTTTCTCGTATATACGAAGTATAGAGAAAGTATTGTAATCGTGCACAAAAATCATTTGAAATTTTAACAATTTTCACCGTATTACACCTCAGTCCTTCATCACATCCGAAGTATAGAGGACTTATTTTAATCGGGCAAAAATTATCAATCCAGATTTATCAAAATTAAGAGGTTTTATGCGTAATCCAGTCTGAAAAACTGGACTTTGCAATTCTGTCCGTATGTCTGTGTGTGTGTCTGTGTGTGTGTCTGTCCGTGTGTAAACACGATAACTTGAGTACCGTTACAGCTAGGTTGATGAAATTTCATATATAAGTATTTTATCAAAATCGTAGATCCGTATCAACTTTTGAGCGATTTCCGATAACCGGAAGTGGTACTTTTCCTACTTTGAATTTTTTAAAAGCCTATAACTTGAGTACTATTTCAGATAGATAAATGAAATTTCACATGTAAGTAAAAGATCTAATTCTCTACCTTCTGTTAAATTTTGAGTAATTTCCGTTGACTGGAAGTAGTAATTTACGCTACTTCCGATTTCTCAAAAAACTAATGTAAATTTTTAAAGTACTAATAATATTGCGCACTATTATACGCGTTTTTATTCGGCGTTTGCTTGGTGCGCAATGTTTTTTTTTATGAGATTATATTCTATTTTTAAAAGTTTAAGTATTTAAAATGGATTAAAAATCATAACTATATCCCCAGTTACCATCCCCTGTTGTTTTATATAAGAATATTCGAGAAAGTTTAGGGGAGATCACTACCGGTTTATTTTTTCCTTTTGGAGCTTGTGCATGTGTCCATTTCTAGCTCTGTACTGGGTTTGTTTGGTTTGCTGGCCATGTTTGGGGATGTAAGTATTACCCCTTTAGGGCTTGGTTGCGGCGTGGTTATTGAAGCAAAGTTAGGTATGACGATTGGTGGTGTAGTAGGTTTGATGAATGGTGGTTTCGTTGCCTTTGTATCGGGGCTAGTTGGCCTGCTTGGTATTGTTGCTGGTTGGGCGGGTGGCGTTGGTTTCTGAGATGGAGGCTGTTTTTTGGGCGGCGTTTTTGGGTTAGATGCTGCGACTTCGATTGATGGGTGTTGCTGAGTGCTTGGCATGGGGTCTTGTAGAGCGGATGGCACTGTAGATTCAGTTGGTGTTTGAACACTGGGCGTTGATTCTAGGTTGAGTGTTTGACAGCGGTTGGTCCAGTGTGCTGTTGATGAACAGTGTTGGCAAGCTTGTTTTCTGTTGTTGATGGCTATTAGGATGTTTAGTGATTTGTTTTTGTAGTTTATTTGGATGTAGTGTGGGATGGTAGATGGGTTGTCTGTGTATATGGAGAAGCTGCGGTTTGTGGTGTGAGGGATTGTGTTTATGGATGGTTCTTTGTTGCTGTAGGGTTGTAGTGCTTGTATGAGTGTGCGATCGTTGAGTGTGGGTGGGACCCATCTAAGGGTGCCGTTAATCTTGTTCTTTTCGTGTAAGGTGAAGTAGAGTGTGTAGGGGCCGTGTGATTTGTGAGTATTGTGTAGGGTAGTGACGTCGAAGGCAGTAGATGTGAAGAACCAGGTATCCGCTCGTCCGTAGTTAAAGAGGAATATCTGTTGATCGCTGATTAGTTGGCGGAGAATGTGACCTCTTAGATTGGGTTGACCTCCTGAGTTAATTATGACTTGAATGGTAGGTGAGTCGGTCGGGAAGAGCTCAGGGCAGTCTTCATCAGGTAGATAAAGGATGACGGTGGTAGCTGAAAAGGGTTGGGCCCTGGATTTCATTAAACCCCCCGGACCACGACCGTAGTCCGGGAGGTTCCTCCCCAAGCCTCTCGGCTCAGGGGGAACATCCAAGGGCGCAACCCCTTTGTTGACGTTGATTATTTTTGCGTAGGTCATCAGGCTAGGAGATGACATGTTTGGACGTTTGAGTAAAGGTTTACCACTTGATCGTGCCAAAAGGCCGAGAAGCGAATTAATGTGTCTGTGTGTTTGAAATCTTATATATAAAGCTCAGTTCTGTAACGCATATGTTTGTTTGTCGCTGGTTATCGATGGATTTAAGTGTTAGAAAATTATCGTGCGCATTTGTCTAAATTTATGAGCTAAAAAATTACTATTGAAAGTGTTGGGAAATAATTTTCATTTTTCAAATTATAGTAATAATTGTCGGCATGTTCATTAAACACAAGTTTTAAAAAAATATAATCTTTTACAAAAATTCTAATTATGTCTTTATTTAGTCCTATAGCACTTACTTCCCTTTGATAAATTAGGAAAACAAAATTACTTCCCTTTATAAAACCACTGCATTAGTCGAAAATAATTTACTTTTTAATTACTTTGTTTTGGTGTTGGGAAAAAAAAAAAGAATTACATAATTAGCGGGGATTGATCAAGTGCAAATGTTGTAGGTATTTTACGGATAGGCTTCACCCCCCCCCCCCCCCCCTAAGAGATGCCTGGAAGAAACTCTGATCGAACCTAAGTTAAGAACCACTGTCTTAGAATCATAAAGTAGGCCTCCTATGTATAAAAATCAAAGCTAAAATGGTCTGATTTTTTTTAATTGCAAAAAAAAAATCCCAACAAAAACGTTTTAATAAGATTTTATGTTGTAGGGCACTAAATAGAAGAAAATAACTGATTTTTTTTTTTAAACATATAATAATACACTGCTATTCAAATAACTATAAAAAAAGCGTAGGTCACTCACTTTAGTATCTATTGGATACCTTTACTAATATTTACGAAGAGACCCACGCTTTTCTTTATGGTAATTGAAATAAGTAGTGTGTTATTATATATTTTTTAAATAAAATCATTTATTTTCTCCATTTTAGTGAATTATTAAAAGCTTGTTATTTAAACTTTTTTTTATGAATTTTTTTAATACTTAAATTTTTTTTAATGCAATGACTAAAAACTATTGCGCACCAAATGAACATGATAACGCGAGTATAATAGTGTAGAGGGGGGTGGAAGCAAGCGTTGTAACTGAAATAGCAATATAAACAGAAAGTGATATTTCAACGCCAAGGGTAGACAAAGGTACAGAAAATAGTCCCAGTAAAGACTAGCAGTCAGACACCAACGAGATCCGAACCTACCATTTTGTGTGTTTTAAATTTATTGATTTAAAGATTGCATTGTCTTCAAGTCTTGACCTATGTTAAAAATGCTCGAAATTTCGCTAGCCCGTTTCGATCTATGACAACAGATAGGTGGACGACATACAGACTGTCGACAGACAAACGAATCAAGTTAAATAAAATAAACTGGGAGTGATCTCCCCTAAGCTTTCTCGAACAGTCTTCTATAACGCTACGGGGAATGGCAACTTGGGATATAGACAGTATTTTAAATCTATTTTTAATTACCTAAACTTTTTAAATTAGAATCTTGTAAAAAAAAGAATTGCACACCAAGTGAGCGCCAAATAAAATGTGTATAATAGTGCGGAATATTATTAGTAATTTATAAATTCACATGCGTTTGTTGAGAAATCGGAAATAGCGTAAATTACTACTTCGGGTCAACGGAAATAACTAAAAAATTGTCAGAAGGCAGAGAATTAGATCTTTTACTTACATGTAAACTACATTTATTTATCTGAACCAGTACTCAAGTTATAGGCTTTTGAAAAATTCAAAGTAGAAAAAGTACCACTTCCGGTTATGGGAAATCGCTCAAAAGTTGGTACAGATCTACGACTGTGATATAATTCTTATATATGAAATTTCATCAACCTTGCTCTAACGGTTATCGTGTTTACAGACACATACACACACACATATATACATAGATATACGGACAAGATTGCAAACCTATGTTTTTCCGACTCAGGGATGTGTAAAACGTCGAGATTTGCAAAAAAAAATTTTTTTTGCTCGATTACAAGACTTTCTCTATACTTCGTATACGTGAAAGTAAAAATCTTGTAAAAACAGTTCACATTTACTTCGATTCCTATTCCTTCTGTTAAAATGTATTAATAGTTTACTCTCTAACCCAAAACGGCGAATGTGACGCATTCATTTTAAAACCGGAAGTAAAAAAACCAGGAGCAAGAACATGGAGAAATAAACAGAGAGAACACCTACAAGTTCTTTTCATCAGGTTCTGATAGATCTTGTATGACGAATACTCTAACCGCTACACCTGGTTAGGGCTATGGTTAGGTTAAGCTGAGGATTAACGTGACGTTAGTGTACCGGATATGTAAATTATATCCAGTGCTTAATTATTTTAGTTAGCGACGGTACAGTCGATTAAAATAAAATAATTTTTTTATTATATTTTACTTTTAGATCTGTCAAAATGTACCCAACATAAGCTCTATTAAACTGAAATAGGTTGGTTTTGCTATGCTCTAGAAGTCTGTTACATTTCATAGTTAAATCTATTAAATATAATGTAAGGTTTACATTTTTATGGGTTGTTATTTTTTCATTTTTTGTTAATTTTCAATAAGGGTGAACTAAAAAATATTTTGCGCGAATGAAAACAATATTTTTCTTTAAAACTACAAATGTTTTTTCTATAAAACTACAAATATTTTTCCAATAAAACTACACATATTTTTCTATAAATCTACAAATATTTTTCTATAAAACTATAAATATTTTTCTATAAAACTACACATATTGTTCTATAAATCTACAAATATTTTTCTATAAAACTACAAATATTTTTCTATAAAACTATAAATATTTTTCTATAAAACTACACATATTTTTCTATAAATCTACAAATATTTTTCTATAAAACTACAAACATTTTTCTATAAAACTACAAATATTTTTCTATAAAACTACACATATTTTTCTAAAAAACTACAAATATTTTTCTATAAAACTACAAATATTTTTCTATAAAACTACAAATATTTTTCTATAAAACTATAAATATTTTTCTATAAAACTACAAACATTTTTCTATAAAACCACAAATATTTTTCTATAAAACTACAAACATTTTTCTATAAAACCACAAATATTTTTCTATAAAACTACACATATTTTTCTAAAAAACTACAAATATTTTTCTATAAAACTACAAATATTTTTCTATAAAACTACAAATATTTTTCTATAAAACTATAAATATTTTTCTATAAAACTACAAACATTTTTCTATAAAACCACAAATATTTTTCCATAAAACTACAAACATTTTTCTATAAAACTGCTAATATTTTAAAACACTTGTGTTCGAATTGTGTACGTTTCAAATATTAATCTCTAAATAAATTGATTCAACATGGGTTCGTTGGGTTCGAACTTGGAAGCTTTAAATATTTTAAAATATTTTGTCTTTGGTCAGTATTAAAGATGTGATTCTACTCCAAGTTGTTCAAATAATTTTACATGGCTTGCTAGGAAATGGAAGTGGGGATGGTAGTGTTGTGTGTGTATGTGGGGGGGGGGGGGGGTGCTAGACACCTGTATCCAAACCTGTGCACGCTTATGACGTCATGTTGAGTTTGAATAAGCTCTGTATTTTATAACATCGTGTACCAACTCAATCTATTATTTGCTGCTAGGGCCCATCAGATGTCCACTAAAGAAATGGCGCGGACACATCCTGTGGTCAGCAGGCCGGCCAGCCGGACCAACAACCTGATCACACAAGTCAGCAGGCCAGCCAGTCGGACCAACAACCTGATCACACTAGTCACCCAGCACAGAACAGCTGATCCAACATCCTATCCATCAACTTATCCATCATCAGAGCACGACACGTACTTGCTGGATGACAGACGTGTGACAGACACTGAACCCCATCTAACTTCCGTGTTTGTCGATCGTTGTTCCCCGCCCCAATGGTTACAAACATTCACATGTGACGTCACACAGCCAGGCGGAGAGACACAACGTGCAGTGCATGAGCCAGATCTGCTGACCACTGACCAAGCTGACTGGCATCAAGGCAAAGACACAAAGTTGACCTGCGCCAGAAGCTGTCAGCAGATCAGTTACCTCCCACCAGCAGACGTCCCAGACACCGACCTGCAGCAGCCGATAGGTCCATGGCTGGCCAGAAAAAACCGGCGCAAATGTTTTTCCGCCGCCCAGACAGATCACGTGACTGGGCGCGAGCCGCCCCCTGACCTTGAGTTTCTGGTTCCACGGGTCAAAGGTCGGGCGCCGAAAACATGCATGGCGCCCACCCAGACCAACACCCCCTCCGGCGCCCCAGAGAGGGGGATGTCCGGCTCGCTAGTCATGTGCCGCCCGGCCGTTCTCTACATCCGTCAGAAGCCAGCCCGGCCGTCGGTGGTTGTACCCCACCCGCTGTTTGCTAGGACACCCAGGAGACCCAGCCACCATCTTGTGTCCTTGTCCTACACCACGAAACCAAAACACCCCAACACCATCACCACAGCCGCTATAAACCCAACCACCCAAACCAAGATCGCGAAGAATAATTGTTTAAAACAAATCTCAGTGAACACCCACGTCCCACGGCCAAGGATCGTCATCCCACCGCCAGCCCGCAAAGTTAGGCGGCGCAGTCGCCGACTGAGGCCAAAACTAAAGGACGAGGGCTGTGAGACAACGGACAAGAAAATAGATTCGGAAATCTGTTTGAGTGAAAAAAGGAATTCATCGCGAAGTAGTCATAAATACATATCTCCGTGGGGTACGTTGTCGGAAAGTGGAAGCGGATCTTTGACGTCCTCAGAATGTTCCAACACAAGCCTCTACAGGCACAAGCGGAAGAGAAAGCGGCGAAACAAACACAGGCCAGTCAAATCTGCCAAGACAAAACAGACTTCTCCTTCGTCTTCAGGCAAACTTACGAAAAAGGTCCACGATTTCTGGGACGCCATCATGTCTTCAGCCCTCAAGTCAAGACGTCGAGGTAAACGTTCTGGTCGTACTAGACTTTCTCCACAGGCGCGAACTGCGGGCTACGTCTCGGCGACGAGAAGGAGCGAGACTCCCAAGCAGCGATTGAGGAACATTGCGTGTTGTAGGGCGCTGGCCGCCCCGCCCTACCTGGGGGCCGCCCCGCCCTTGATGGGGGCCGCCCCGCCCTTGATGGGGGCGGCTAGCGATGTGCCCCAGAACAAGGCGTCTGAGCATCAGTTAGACAGTCACAACACGAACGTGCTGATTGAGGCCATCAAGGTCATTGACTTGCACTGTCGTTCTCGGCCAACTGTTCGTCTTCATGTGAAGACCTCAGAGAAACAAAGCCAGAAAGTCAGAAGTTTAGAGAAACCAGATCAGCAGGACAAAAGTTTAGAGAAACAAGATCAGCAGGGCAAAAGTTTAGAGAAACGAGATCAGCAGGGCAAAAGTTTAGAGAAACAAGATCAGCAGGGCAAAAGTTTAGAGAAACAAGATCAGCAGGGCAAAAGTTTAGAGAAACAAGATCAGCAGGGCAAAAGTTTAGAGAAACAAGATCAACAGGGCAAAAGTTTAGAGAAACAAGATCAGCGGGGCAAAAGTTTAGAGAAACAGGATCAGCAGGGCAAAAGTTTAGAGAAACAAGATCAGCAGGGCAAAAGTTTAGAGGTCCTAAACAAACGAGCACGCAAGTGTGTGAAGGCCCCAACAAAAAAGTGCTCGTCGCTTCCAAATCTTCCAGTGAACATGTCATCAAGATGGAATCAAGACACGGAACCCCATGACCCCCAGAATAAACACACAGAACCCCATAACCCCCAGAATAAACACACAGAACCCCATAACCCCCAGAATAAACACACAGAACCCCATAACCCCCAGAATAAACACACAGAACCCCATAACCCCCAGAATAAACACACAGAACCCCATAACCCCCAGAATAAACACACAGAACCCCATAACCCCCAGAATAAACACACAGAACCCCACGACACCCAGAATAAACACACATATCCCCGGAGCCATCAGGAACTAACCCAGCTCCATAAGAATAGCACCATGTCTCCATCCGAGATAGACATCAGATCGTACCGCAGCACATCAAATACCAGACGACTGGAGGCTGACCCGAGCTGGAACCCGGGGGTGGGGGACACCCGTGTCACCCCCCGGGTCAGGGCAGCTACAGCCAGGCTAACGTCAGGCAGGGCCACGAAACAATCGGGTCTGGCAGCTGGTTCTAGAGCGGGAGGGGAGGGAACTGCACCGCATTCTCCGACCAAGCCAGTCAAAGATGGCGCCAGCAGGATGCTGGAGGTGGCTGGTAAACAAGGAAACGTTCGAGTCAAGAGAAAAACGAAAATCGCTAAAAATAAATAAGAATTCAATCAGTTTTCTGACGTTTTTCTTCGTCATTGTTACTTGTAAATCTGCAGTTCTACATATTTGTAGTGTGTTTGGTTGGCCTACTGGTTAGATGGGTTCGTATGTGAACATTTTTTTTACCAGATGTACAGAGCAAAATTTTCTCATTCTAAGTCGTCCGGTCTGTTTTGATAAACGAAACGTTAAAATGTAAAATATTTATATTTAATAATTATTTTCCTTCAGTTTGTTTGATGTTGAAAAAAAAACCAATTATCTAATTAGCATGGATTGATAAAGTGCCATGTGGTAGGTAAAACACATATGTTCTAAATACTACCTTTATTTATTATATACGGAATGTACAGTTAACTAATTATTAGTTTTGATCAATAACAGATTAGGAGCCGTCCTTAATGTCGTTAGTGTTTTTGTTTCCGTCTGCGTTATTGTTTGCGTTTGTAGTTGCTTTTGTGTTTGCGTTTTTGTTTGAACTTTTGGTAGTGGTTGGTTGTGATTAGGGTTAAGCTTAGAGTTAGGGTTATGTGTGATTTTCTCAAACGTCCTTATCTGCATATTGACATTTATTGGAAAAGTAATATATTCCCTAAATCCAAGCAATGCCGTGTATATGCTTCTTTTAAACACACAAGTCACGGCCCTTTACAGATAGGATTTTCTCAGGGCCAGTGCAGGGCCTAGCCGGGACGGCTAGTATAATTACATGGCTCGGCGAAAAAACTGGTAAACTACTATTAGCTTATCGGTATTTCAATTCAATCAAATCTCTTACTTATACTATCTCAAATAAAATATAATTCAGTTTAATTTTATGCATGACCACTGGGTCTATTATAGTAAAATAGACGTAAAGCCCTAAGTTACGGTAACAGAGTTTGTTTCAGGCCTCTTCTCCTGATGAGGGGGGGGGGGGGGGGCTTTTACCTGTGTGCCCCCCCCCCCCCCCCCCGAGAAAAAAGTCTGAAAAGAAACAGTCCGGTAAAACTAATTACCGCCATCATCTATTTGAAGAGGATCTGTACAATCCCATTAGCACATGCACAACAAAGGTGGTGTAGTGAAACAGGAAGACGAGGTGAATACCTGTACCAATATCATTGTTTTAATCACGAGAGCAGAGCAGTAACAGATACAGGGACAACAAAACATCTCATTTACATAGGGTTACATGAGCTCCATACAATACTAGAAAGCTACAACATGGGAGGTAATCACACACAAGGTACATAACTGCAGGAGTTATACAGTGTTCCGGTCATCAAATTAGCAGTAGAAAAATGGATCAATTGCTTTCTGTAGCATGTAAAAAGACATTGGTTTCATTAGAACAGTCGCATAAATTTATTAAAAAAAAAACAAGTAACTTTGTTTTTAGATTGAAGATATAATTTTTTGTAATTAAACAACCAGAATATTGATTACAGTAGAACTCAAACAATGTATCAATAGTTTACACAATTTTAGTTTGTACGTCCCTAATGTGTCAATAATTTACACAATTTTACAGTTTGTATGTCCCTATATCTCCAGCAATATTTACACTTTTGATTAGATTGTGCAGACGACACAAAAATTGATTGTATCTTCTGTAAGGCCACTAACAGTTTCACTGATTTAAAAAGTCTCTAAGGATAAAAAAAATATTTCTCAAATAAATTCAAAGTCTATGTTTTAAGTCAGTGTAATCTAATGCCATGTTGAGGGCAGTGTGGAACTTTCCTGTTGATCAATTTCATCATGTTCATTTAATTTCTATAACACTAATTAAAGTTGACCAATCAAAATACCAAAAAGGTTTTGACATTTCTTAGACAAAAATCAAATTGACCAACCTATTTGTTGGCCAAGAATCAAATTGACCAACCTATTTGTTGGCCTGACAAGAATCAGGTTGGCCAGTTAACCTGTTTGTTGGCCAGCCAACCTCTGTTGGGGCCAAGAATAAGATTTGGCCATCTTGATTGTTGGCAAATTGGCCAAGAATCAAGTTGGTCAACCTCTTTGTTGGCCAACTTAACTATTACAGAACATTTGTGTAATATATGCTGAGAGAGACCCAAGTTTATATACATCAAGTTATGTACAGCATTGAGTAGAAACACGTATAGATGTGATGCTACCTCACTACACATACATCTGGCTACACTACACCAATTTTACTTTAAAACAGTCTGGTCAGACATAATGATGTTATACTAACAAGAGCTGCTGTAGCAAATGATTGAATGAAGAAGTGCTAGAGTCTAAAGAAACAGGCAATATTAAAGACAACATGAACAAGGCAGAGAAGTTGAGCCAGTGTCTTCTGTCTAGTCGAGGAAACTAAGAGCGAAGTATAAACAAAAGGGAAAGAATCCACAGGTTGAAATTTTCCTTGGAGTTATCTCTGATATGAGACTGGGCCTATAGGCGTACAGTTGCTGATAGCGGTTTGTGCCATTATTTATTCAGCTTTCAGATACATAGATCAGTTCTGTTCAAGGGGACATTTTTTCTGTGGCGAAATGGATTAGAAAAAATGCTCTTGAAAACGTAGTGATGTAAAACACCAACGAAAGAAAAGGAAAATTTCAACTTCGGACCTAGAACTAAAAGTTACAATAAATTAAAGTAATAAAGGTCAGAGCTGACAGAAACTATTCATCGTTAGTTCAATAACTAATTAGTTTGTCTGTTTAAACATTTGCGAATTTTAAGTAAAGGAATGCATGTCCAATAGGTCTGAAATTATTTAAAAAATTTGATTTTTAAAAACTTTTTTTCCCTCCATAGATTGTATACAAATAGTTAAAAATTAAGAGAAACTAAACTTTAAAAACTATTTTCACCAACATAGTTAAAACAATTTTAAAAAAAACAAATTAACTCCCCTGTGTTCCACCAATCCAAGCTTAAAAGTCTTTAACAAAACTGTAAGCACAACTTTAAACATTCCAGTTGTTTAAAAACTTTGACCCAAACAAATTCAGTTCATTCTCAAAACAAAATAATCTTCAAAATCTTACAGGAGTCCAATTCTGGTTAGGTTTTAGAGAGGGTTATTTTTTTTTTTTAAATAGGCCTATAGAAAAGGTAGCTTATAACACAGATTTTGAGCAAATGTGAAAACTGAGATGTGAAAAAATTGTGTGGGTCAAGGGATACAACCAACAAGAAAGATAACCAATGTGACAAAGTTTTAAGCCTGATGCTAGGGAGGCTTTAGCACACTTCTTCAGATGAGTGCGAGGAAAAATTATTTTCAGTTTTTTTTTTAACTGACAAAAAATTGTTCTCATCTTCATCTGAAACATTCTTTAAATAAAATAATGATTTAAACCTGAAACAAATCAAAAACTAAGGGCTCATTAAATAACAGTGTTAGATCTACTTGTCTGCTGTAATACATGGTACTGCTCAAGTGTTGATGTTGTGTTTAATGCTGCAATAAAACAAAACTATGGTCTGAATAAAAATCTACAATATATTGTTTCAAACAATATCCTGGTATTTTTATACATTTATGATGAGTTTTTTTTTTGTTGTGGGCAGTCTTATCAATTTGAATAAGGCTTAAGTTGTGAAAAATTGTTCTGGTCAGTATGGTAGATTTTTTTTTTATTTTAAAGAAAATTGTGAAAAATTGTTCTGGCCAGTATTTTAGTATTTTTTTATTTTAAAGAAAATTGTGAAAAATTGTTCTGGCCAGTATGGTAGATTTTTATTTTAAAGAAAATTGTAAAAAATTGTTCTGGCCAGTCAGTTGCATTTGAATCAAGTTGTGAAAAAAATGTTGAATAGTGCTGAACTCTTGAAAAAATGGAGAATTTTTCATTTGCTTCAAAGACCTAAATTGTTTAGTAAGTTAGACGAATTCACAAAGACATCTACATCCTTATGAGAAAATCATTGACCGTTGCATATGGGAGAAACAGAAAATTGGGTACAATTCAATCAGAAACCTTATAACAATCTACATAGTAATATTACTAAATAATGTCCCCTATGAAAGTAGTATATAATGTAAAAATGCTTTAAATGGCAAAAAAACTTTATACAAATTGTACATATTATTCACATTAAAACAAAGTCATAAAAGTACAGTCGACATATTTTCTAGATTGTTTCCCAGATATCATATAAATAACTTGTCATACATTAAAAAAAACTTTGAAATCATACACTTCTCATGCAAGTATGACAACCAAAAACCTTTCATGCATTCCTGTAATGGCAAGATAATGTAAGGATGAATTGCACTGTCTCCAAGAAACAAATTTATTTTAGCCAAGAAGGTTAGGATATCTCTATATGTTTAAAATGTAGTTTATATCAAAAACTTAGGAAGAGAAAATAAATGTTTTTATCCTGCAAGCTAAAATTGATGGAGGTATAGTTTGTGTAGACAAGAACTATAGAATCAGACATGACTAGGTTTAAAAAATAAATGGAAAAAGCAATCTCTAAAATGTTCTCATAGTGAACATCAATTTTCTAAAGACAAAGGGAAACTAACTCAACAGGTGGTAAGAAAGTAGTTAATTACATATTTAATTAATGACAAATGTTCATTAGCTCAGAGTAAAATTAAACTGATTGTAAATATTCAAACAAAATGTCTTAATTATACAGAGCTGATAAAAATGTGTAGATGTTTTACCATGAATAAATTTCTCTCCAAACACAGAAATAAAAAACTTGAAAAAAAAAAAAGCAGCTGTGTAAAGTTATCTCCCCACATTATGACTATCATATCATCACAAACATTTAAAAATAGCCTTGCCCAGTACCAAACCCAATGCTCAGTGTTTTAGTTTAAAATATGATGGCTTCATCATAAAAATAAAGTTTTAAAAATGTAACAGTTTAAAATATGATGGCCTCATCATAAAAATAAAGTTTTAAAAATGTAACAGTTTAAAAATAGCCAATATATTGGAGCATGTAAATAGCCATAAAAATTTCAGCCATGATTCAATACGTAACTAAAAATATATAACTAAAAAAAATGCTAAATTCTAGAAATAAAAACTTGCATATTTGTGTTACAGATAATAAAATGTAATCCAACAGATGAATGTCAGTGACATTACTGACACTATCATTAAGAAACATACACATAGTTTTATATTCCTACAGATACGAGCACACTACAGACTGACACTATCATTAGGCAACATACACGTAGTCCTATAATAGTCCCACTGATACAAGCACACATAGTTCTACAGTCTCATATGTTATCACCACAAACACTTAAACCAGAGAGGAATTTGAAAGCACTTTTATCAAATAATTGTGTTGAAATAAGGCAAAGTAAATCTCAGATAGAGTGAAGTGCCATTTCATTCAAGTGACTGATTTATAGATCACCATCCAACAGCAAGAGAAAAAAATGACAAGAAATATTTTTTGCATGATGCGACAGCCACTACATCAACTACATCAGGTTGATAAGAGCAGATCAGGTTACAAGAAGTTGATGTCATTGGATGATTGGATGGATGATTATAATTAGATGATGTTTTAGCTGATGTATTAGATGATGTGTTACATGAATATTTTAGATGATGTGTTAGATGATGTATTACATGAATACATTAGATGATGTGTTAGATGATGTATTTGATGATGTGTTACATGAATACATTAGATGATGTGTTAGCTGATGTGTCATTAGATCAGATGATGTGTTAGCTGATGTCATAAGTGATGACATGTTGTCATTCGATGATTTGTGACATTGCACAAATGCCACCATAGCCTGGTGCTGTAGCTGCTTGATAAAAGTTGCTGCTGACTAACTTATTTGTACTGGAGATTCAGCCGTACAACTTCGGGGTTTAAGAGGATCAGTTACTAAACTTCATATCTGTTTAACTATGGGGGGAAATATACGAACATAACAATCATAAAAAAAAAAGATAGGGCATTAAAGTCTCATTGCTAATCCACTTGTAGAAAAAATAATTTAAAACAAAATCCACGAGAGTGGCATCCCTCTATCACTAGACCTCCACACACTGAAGAAGGAAGGGCTTCTACTTTTCTCCATTATGACCTAACAATGTTTAGTATTCCTGATGCATGGCTTGTATGATCTAGATTTAGGATCCCAGAAAATAGAGACATAAATGGTCTACTAAATCAAATGGGTGTTGTTCCATTCACTGCTGTAAGTGGTAACAAACTTGATGATGAGGATGAAGGTAAGGTGAATGGTAAACAATGAAATGATGTATTTGGGAACAACTGTTGGCAATAAGACGCCTTCCCAAGTGGGATTTGTCCCAGCAACAAGTTCTGGTCAACAATTGTGTTGGGAAGCTGAGTTCTTCTCATCTGCAGTTGTAAGCTAACTGCTCAAGGTCGCAGGCTGACTGCCTGAGGTCGCAGGCTGACTGCCTGAGGTCGCAGGCTGACTGCCTGAGGTCGCAGGCCAACTGCCCTGTCATGCGGCAGGTCATCACTTCTTGCCTGGCTCAGGCAGGTAGATCTCCACCTCTGTTTCTCCGTTGTTGACGGGCGTGGCCGTGGCTTGTTTCATGGCCGCCCTGCGCTCGGCCAACAACTTTTTCCGGGCCTCATCTCTTGCTTTAGCTGCTTGCCGAGCTTTCTGAGTTCTCTCAGGGGAGGAGTCGGGCGTGTCCTTCCCACTGGTGGGCTTGAGGTTTTTACGTCTGGAACCTGGGGACAGGCAAGGTCACATTTTATATGGATCAGGCCACTCCTATTTTACAGTAGTAACATTTTAATTCTATGGTCACAAAATGACTGAAATGTAACTAGTATTTGATAACAGCCAAAGTGTGTGAAATGTAAGCAATACTTTATACTTGAATGCCCTCATAAGGTGTTGTATGCCCACCAACAAGGTGCCCTCATAAGGTGTTTGATGCCCACCAACAAGGTGCCCTCATAAGGTGTTTGATGCCCACCTACAAGGTGACATAAGGTGTTTGATGCCCACCTACAAGGTGACATAAGGTGTTTGATGTCCACCAACAAGATGACCTCATCAGGTGTTTGATGCCCACCCTCATAAGGTGTTGTATGCCCACCAACAAGGTGCCCTCATAAGGTGTTTGATGCCCACCAACAAGGTGCCCTCATAAGGTGTTTGATGCCCACCTACAAGGTGACATAAGGTGTTTGATGCCCACCTACAAGGTGACCTCATAAGGTGTTTGATGCCCACCAACAAGGTGACATAAGGTGTTTGATGCCCACCTACAAGGTGACATAAGGTGTTTGATGTCCACCAACAAGATGACCTCATCAGGTGTTTGATGCCCACCCTCATAAGGTGTTTGATGCCCACCCTCATAAGGTGTTGTATGCCCACCTACCAGATGACCTACCTGGAGTATGTGCAGGTGTAGCTGAAGGTGTGCTGGCCTGGGATAAGCTGCCAGACTTGGGGCTGGAACTGGCTGAGCTGCGTCTTGAGGCCTAGAAACATTGTGGTTTATTTTAGTCACATTTGGTGGGATTTTTATTTTAGTCCCATTTGGTGGGATTTTTTTTAGTCACCATTTGGTAAAATATTATTTGTCACATTTCGTAAAGTACTTTTTGTCACATTTAGTAAAATACTCATTTTAGTCACATTTGGTAAAATACTCTTTTTAGTCACATTTGATAAAATATTCGTTTAGTAACATTTGGTAAAATTTAAATTTTTCAAAAAATGTATCAATTGCAAGCTAAAGGTAAAATTGTCACAATGGCTAAATCTTATCCAAGTTATCAACATGAAACAGACCCAAAAGATCAACAAGAAACAGAATCAAAACATCAACATAAAGTTACCAGTCTAGGGATCTCCTGCCATCCGTTATCTTTCATCAGCTCTATCTCTGCAAACATGTCATCCACATGATCCACCTGGATCTTCACCATATCCCAGAATCCTTGTAGGTCTTCCCATTTGGTCTCTCTCTCTTCTGGGTCAGGGTTCTAGGAAACAGGAGGTCAAGGTTAGATCAGTTACTGGACAGTTCAGGGTTCTAGGACACAGGAGGTCAAGGTTAGATCAGTTACTGGACAGGTCAGGGTTCAAGGACACAGGAGGTCAAGGTTAGATCAGTTACTGGACAGGTCAGGGTTCAAGGACACAGGAGGTCAAGGTTAGATCAGTTACTGGACAGGTCAGGGTTCAAGGACACAGGAGGTCAAGGTTAGATCAGTTACTGGATAGGTCAGGGTTCTAGGACACAGGAGGTCAAGGTTAGATCAGTTACTGGACAGGTCAGGGTTCAAGGACACAGGAGGTCAAGGTTAGATCAGTTACTGGACAGGTCAGGGTTCAAGGACACAGGAGGTCAAGGTTAGATCAGTTACTGGATAGGTCAGGGTTCTAGGACACAGGAGGTCAAGGTTAGATCAGTTACTGGACAGGTCAGGGTTCTAGGACACAGGAGGTCAAGGTTAGATCAGTGACTGGACAGGTCAGGGTTCTAGGACACATGAGGTCAAGGTTAGATCAGTTACTGGACAGGTCAGGGTTCAAGGACACAGGAGGTCAAGGTTAGATCAGTTACTGGACAGGTCAGGGTTCTAGGACACAGGAGGTCAAGGTTAGATCAGTGACTGGACAGGTCAGGGTTCTAGGACACAGGAGGTCAAGGTTAGATCAGTTACTGGACAGGTCAAACACTAAACCTAACCCTAACCCTTCTGGGTCAGGGTTCTAGGACACATGAGGTTATATTTAGACCAGTTGCTGGACAGGTCAAACACTAAACCAAACATGGAATTTAGTGGATGATCTCAGTGGGCAGATACAATCAACAAGAAACAGAAAGCCAATAAGGATCACTTACCATGTGATTCTGACACAGATCTCTGAACTGGACAAACTTTTGGCTGATCAACAGATTGGCTTTACCAGTTGCTGCACGTATCCTACCACAGGCTGGGGAGATACAACATGGCTCAGTCAGGTGTAATCTTCAGTCATGTTCAAAGTAATCTTTAGTCATGTCCAGTGTAATCTTAAGTCATGCCCAGTGTAATCTTCAGTCATGTCCAGTGTAATCTTCACACATGCCCAGTGTAATCTTCAGTCATGTCCAATCTTCAGTCATGTCCAGTGTAATCTTCAGTCATGTCCAGTGTAATCTTCACACATGTCCAGTGTAATCTTTAGTCATGTCCAGTGTAATCTTTAGTCATGTCCAGTGTAATCTTCAGTCAGGTCCAGTGTAATCTTCCGTCATGTCCAGTGTAATCTTCAGTCATGTCCAGTGTAATCTTCAGTCATGTCCAGTATAATCTTAAGTCATGTCCAGTGTAATCTTCCGTCATGTCCAGTGTAATCTTCAGTCATGTCCAGTATAATCTTCAGTCAGGTCCAGTGTAATCTTCCGTCATGTCCACTGTAATCTTCAGTCAGGTCCAGTATAATCTTCAGTCAGGTCCAGTGTAACCTTCAGTCAGTCATGTCCACTGTAATCTACAGTCAGTCATGTCCACTAATTGACCTCTGACCTACCTTCCTCTGGCAGGTCATGTGACCTCAGGTGTGCCTCTGCCCTGGTACACAGACCTTGTATCCTCTCCTCTTCAAACTTTGTGTGCTGGAGGAAATACTCTCCGTCCTGGGGAGATAAGGTCATGTCATAGGTTCATAGGCTTTAGTAGGTTCATGTCATAGATTCATGTCATAGGTTCATAGGCTTTAGTAGGTTCATGTCATAGGTTCATAGGCTTTAGTAGGTTCATGTCATAGATTCATAAGCTTTAGTAGGTTCATGTCATAGGTTCATGTCATAGGTTCATAGGCTTTAGTAGGTTTATAGGCTTTAGTAGGTTCATGTCATAGGTTCATGTCATAGGTTCATAGGCTTTAGTAGGTTCATGTCATAGGTTCATAGGCTTAAGTAGGTTCATGTCATAGGTTCATAGGCTTTAGTAGGTTCATGTCATGGGTTCATAGGCTTTAGTAGGTTCATGTCATAGGTTCATGTCATAGGTTCATAGGCTTTAGTAGGTTCATGTCTGACTTTAACAGGTTCATGTGTGACATAATCCCAATTACCACCCAAATACAGTGAATACATAAAGTCTTAGCCAAGTTCAAAACTTACTTTGGCAGCATCACCCACAGGAAACTTGGGGGTGTGGCCATTGACCCCTGACCTGGGTGTTTGCTCCGGGGTGCTCTCTGATTTTTGTTCCACTGGCATGTTGGGGTCTGATGAACTAGCGTCAGATCTGAAACACACAGGTCAACATTTGATAGATCTCAAACACACAGGTCAACATTTGACAGATCTCAAACACACAGGTCAACATTTGACAGATTTAGAACACACAGGTCAACATTTGACAGATCTCAAACACACAGGTCAACATTTTACAGATCTAGAACACACAGGTCAACATTAGACAGATCTAGAACACACAGGTCAACATTTGACAGATCTCAAACACACAGGTCAACATTTGACAGATCTAGAACACACAGGTCAACATTTGACAGATCTGAAACACACAGGTCAACATTTGACAGATCTAGAACACACAGGTCAACATTTGACAGATCTAGAACACACAGGTCAACATTTGACAGATCTAGAACACACAGGTCAACATTTGACAGATCTAGAACACACAGGTCAACATTTGACAGATCTAGAACACACAGGTCAACATTTGACACAGGTCAACATTTGACAGATCTAGAACACACAGGTCAACATTTGACACAGGTCAACATTTGACAGATCTAGAACACACAGGTCAACATTTGACAGATCTAGAACACACAGGTCAACATTTGACAGATCTAGGACACACAGGTCAACATTTGACAGATCTAGAACATGCAGGTCAACATTTGACAGATCTAGAACACACAGGTCAACATTTGACACAGGTCAACATTATACAGATCTAGAACACACAGGTCAACATTTGATAGATCTAGAACATACAGGTCAACATTTGACAGATCTAGAACACACAGGTCGACATTTGACAGATCTAGAACACACAGGTCAACATTTGACAGATCTAGGACACACAGGTCAACATTTGACAGATCTAGAACACACAGGTCAACATTTGACAGATCTAGAACACACAGGTCAACATTTGACAGATCTAGAACACACAGGTCAACATTTGACAGATCTCAAACAGTAAAATATCTTGTTACAATACCTTACAAAATGTAATGGGTGAAATTTATAAAAAGCTTAGAATGTAAGCCAATATTATGTTTTGTGTACTCTGGAATGTGATGTTATGTGCTACTCATGTCTAGTACTGGTTAAATGTAAAATGGTTTTAACATTGAGCCCACTAAACTGTAGGACAAAAGGTATAAGAGTTACCTTAACGAGCTTTGACTGGAGTAGGGCGACCTTTTATTTACATCCTTGTAGGTGCTGTACCTGCAGTATTTGCCATAACCACTGACCGCACAGCTGAGCTTCAGGTAAGATGGCTTGTGGTTGGGGTCAACAGGTGAGGGGGGGTCAGAGCTAATCAGAGATAATTAATACATTAATACAAGGCAAAAATGGGTCGGAGCTAATCAGAGATAATTAATACATTAATACAAGGCATAAATGAGGTCGGAAATAATCAGAGATGTTAATACATTAGTATAAGGCAAGCTAAACAAAAATTACACAAATTAATTCAAGGGTTAGAGCTAAACAAAAATTACACAAATTAATTTAAGGGTTAGAGCTAAACAAAAATTACACAAATTAATAAGGGGGTCAGACCGAAATACTCATTATTACAAGGCACAACTAATGTAGCAAGGGGGTGGTGCTGGGAGGTGGGGGGGGGGGGGGGGGTTGTAGTTCATAAAAAATTATCACATGGGGTCAGCTCACTTTTTAAATATATCATTTATTTTTACCCTCATTAATAATTAATTTGTCATTAACAAAGCTCAGATAAGATGTATGCTGCTGGATATCATCCAATGTTTACATCAGGTCCCTATAATGCTATGACTTGATTTGTATAAAGTTCAATGTCCCAGTTAAGAACTGAGCAATTAAGGGTTGTTTTAAAAAAAAAAACTAACTATGAGTACATCATTAGTTTAAATTATTACAATAGAACTCCTGGTTTAAAAATGTCAGTCCCAAAAACTAGTACAACTTAGCAGCATGCACTAATTTATCTTGTAGGTTAAATTAAAACAGTTTTGGTGTCACATGGGTGTATTGATTAGTCCTGTACATAATTTCTGCCTAATTTGAGGTAAGGATTTAGTGTCAAGGTGTGAGTGGATTATTGGTGGGTTGTGAGATTAGGAGTCAGGTAAAAAGTGACAGCCCAGCTTCCTTTAATTACACCAAACAGGAAGCTGCTAATGAGGGATGATAATTGCCTATTTTAATTACACTATTTTCATGCCATTTTATTTTATTTAAGTGGAAAGTAATAGATTGAAACCAACAGACTGAAATATGCTAATTGTTGAAAAGTGATAGATCAATATATTATGCTAATTGTTGAAAAGTGATAGATTGATATGTTATGCACATTTGCTCATTTTTGAAAATTAATACATTGTTAAAAATTAGCATGGTGAAACTTAACCAACTGAAATAAAATGTGTTTATTACTTCTAAAAGAGGTATAAAATATTGGTTTATATCTACCAACTGAGTTAAGTTTAAAATTGAAATTAGTCAAAAGAAAAACTGGGGATAATTAAAATATAAATCTTGGAATAGTTGAGAAATGACAAGTTGGCTTTAGCTGATTATAAAAAGGATGACAATGAAGCTGAACTACAACAAAAATGGCAAGATGATTACAAGTCAAACTAGAACAAACCTGGAGTTTGAAGAATTCAAGGGCACATTATTCTCTTTATTGCACTGCCCCTCTCTGTGGGCAGATCTTCTAAGCTTGATGCCCTCGGACTCGGCTGGAAGCTTGCCCTCAGCTGAGTTGACCAGGGAGGATGGGATGACCACTTGTTTAGAGCCTGCGGACTGGCTGACCCCACTCAACAGGGAGGGTTCACTGGCTGGAAGAGGGAAATATAACATCAGGTCAAAGGTCAGAACACAGGGTTTAACTGAGGTATTGAAGGCTGGGTTAAACCACGGTATAGAAGGGTAGGTTTAACTGTTGTATTGAAGGCTGGGTTAAACCGCGGTATAGAAGGGTAGGTTTAACCATGATATAGACATATTGGTTAAACTGTTGTATAGAAGACTGGGCTAACTATGGAATAGACAGATGGGTTTAACCATTGTATAATGGGCTGGGTTAAACTGTGTCAAGTTTTGAGTACATGAAAGTGAAGCTATGAGACTATGAACTTACATTATGTCAAGTTTTGAGTACATGAAAGTGAAGCTGTGAGACTATGAACTTACATTACCAGCTGTAGAAAGATGAGTAAAGTGAACCGCTGGGAGTGGGGGAAAGCCTGCAATATCAATAATACAAGGCCAGGCCTGCCGAGTGCTGATAGATAAGGCAGGGGTGGGGAGATAGCAAGCACACCCCTCAACCTCCCAGAGGTAGTGAGCACACCCCAACACCCCCCCCCCCCCCCCCCCCCCCCCCCCCCCCCCGCTTACAGACACGAGTGGTGTAAGAGACTATCAGGTCATGCAAAAAATGGAAAGGGGGGGGCAGCAGGAGGGCTGGAAGTTACATGCACATGAGTGATAAACTACGAGTTGGGTGCGGGGGGGGGGGGGGGGGGGGAGGGATAGTTTTTTTTCCCCAAGAGGAAGGCGGGAAAGTAAAAATGGAGATGGGAAAACAGATCAAGGAGATATGACTAAGTCAAGGTTTTTTTTAAATGTGGGTCAACTTGATTTTTGTTTTAAGTTTGATACGTTTCTAAGCGTGTTATAGAAACTAGGTTTTAAAACCAGCTAGATCTAGATATGAAACGTCTGTAACGATCTCAAATGTTGAGTGAAGATTGCGACCCTACATAATTATTACTGTCAAGTGAGGGGGTGCTGGCAGCAAATTGTGGAATCTTTGCATTACTTATCTAGTCGGTATTAGCACATGAACCTGGATACGTCATCACACTGATGTATGAGAGCAGACATTCATCACAACCCCCCCCCCACCGACAAAACAAAAAAAGTTATAGAAATAGAAAATGTATACTTCAACAAATCTGTTCCCCTCCCCATCCCCTTTCCGCAAAGGAGATTAAGATTTAAGTATTGTATGTGTACGCCATAGTACATCGCTTAAAATCAAGAGCAATAACTCTTTATAAGAAAAACAAACCGGCTTAAAAAATAAACAAGTAGATTCTAATCTCTGTTGGTGTTATAGACGGCTCTCTGTCTATCAAACATTGTGCTGCGAGTTGTGAGCACACGCTCAAAACTGTGAACTCACTAACTTGTGTTAACTCATGTTTTAACATGTGAACTCACGAGTTGGCCTGTGAATTCAAGGTTAAATATGTTTATGAGAGGTCAGCATGCAAGTGTTTCAAAGAAAAGTGTGGAGTGAACATGAGAGTAAGGTAAACAATGATGCAGGGATGTTCCCAGTTGGTGAGCTGGGTACAGTGTAACAGGGGAACAAGTTCCCAGTTGGTGAGCTGGGTACAGTATACCAGGGTAACATTACAGAGTGGGGGGGGGGGTATTAGGGAGACGGCTCAATGATTTACCACATAATATCCTAGCGTGAATGGAAGCTCTGATGTCATGTATGAGAAGATAACTAAGCTCTGATGTCATGTATGAGATGATTGCTAAGCTCTGATGTCATGTATGAGAAGATAACTAAGCTCTGATGTCATGTATGAGATGATTGCTAAGCTCTGATGTCATGTATGAGAAGATAACTAAGCTCTGATGTCATGTATGAGAAGATTGCTAAGCTCTGATACAAAGCTGGGAACAATTGTAACGGAAACAAGGTGAAAATGGCATACACCGAGATGAACCCTGAATGTAATTAGTGTAACTCTAGTTGTTAATTGGTTTTTTTTACATGTTCAGTCGTCATCGACTGAAAGGTGAGATCGTGTATGTTATGGAGATGTCAGTTGTGATAAGGTAGAGGCTCAGGTGAGTAGTGTGTGGGTACAACATCCAGGTGAGTAGTGTGTGGGTACAACATCCAGGTGAGTAGTGTGTGGGATAAGGTACAACATCCAGGTGAGTAGTGTGTGGGTACAACATCCAGGTGAGTAGTGTGTGGGTACAACATCCAGGTGAGTAGTGTGTGGGATAAGGTACAACATCCAGGTGAGTAGTGTGTGGGTACAACATCCAGGTGAGTAGTGTGTGGGTACAACATCCAGGTGAGTAGTGTGTGGGTACAACATCCAGGTGAGTAGTGTGTGGGTACAACATCCAGGTGAGTAGTGTGTGGGATAATGTACAACATCCAGGTGAGTAGTGTGTGGGTACAACATCCAGGTGAGTAGTGTGTGGGTACAACATCCAGGTGAGTAGTGTGTGGGATAAGGTACAACATCCAGGTGAGTAGTGTGTGGGTACAACATCCAGGTGAGTAGTGTGTGGGATAAGGTACAACATCCAGGTGAGTAGTGTGTGGGTACAACATCCAGGTGAGTAGTGTGTGGGTACAACATCCAGGTGAGTAGTGTGTGGGTACAACATCCAGGTGAGTAGTGTGTGGGTACAACATCCAGGTGAGTAGTGTGTGGGTACAACATCCAGGTGAGTAGTGTGTGGGATAAGGTACAACATCCAGGTGAGTAGTGTGTGGGTACAACATCCAGGTGAGTAGTGTGTGGGTACAACATCCAGGTGAGTAGTGTGTGGGTACAACATCCAGGTGAGTAGTGTGTGGGTACAACATCCAGGTGAGTAGTGTGTGGGATAATGTACAACATCCAGGTGAGTAGTGTGTGGGATAAGGTACAACATCCAGGTGAGTAGTGTGTGGGATAAGGTACAACATCCAGGTGAGTAGTGTGTGGGTACAACATCCAGGTGAGTAGTGTGTGGGTACAACATCCAGGTGAGTAGTGTGTGGGTACAACATCCAGATGAGTAGTGTGTGGGATAATGTACAACATCCAGGTGAGTAGTGTGTGGGTACAACATCCAGGTGAGTAGTGTGTGGGTACAACATCCAGGTGAGTAGTGTGTGGGATAAGGTACAACATCCAGGTGAGTAGTGTGTGGGATAATGTACAACATCCAGGTGAGTAGTGTGTGGGTACAACATCCAGGTGAGTAGTGTGTGGGATAAGGTACAACATCCAGGTGAGTAGTGTGTGGGATAAGGTACAACATCCAGGTGAGTAGTGTGTGGGTACAACATCCAGGTGAGTAGTGTGTGGGATAATGTACAACATCCAGGTGAGTAGTGTGTGGGATAAGGTACAACATCCAGGTGAGTAGTGTGTGGGTACAACATCCAGGTGAGTAGTGTGTGGGTACAACATCCAGGTGAGTAGTGTGTGGGTACAACATCCAGGTGAGTAGTGTGTGGGATAATGTACAACATCCAGGTGAGTAGTGTGTGGGTACAACATCCAGGTGAGTAGTGTGTGGGTACAACATCCAGGTGAGTAGTGTGTGGGATAATGTACAACATCCAGGTGAGTAGTGTGTGGGTACAACATCCAGGTGAGTAGTGTGTGGGATAAGGTACAACATCCAGGTGAGTAGTGTGTGGGTACAACATCCAGGTGAGTAGTGTGTGGGTACAACATCCAGGTGAGTAGTGTGTGGGTACAACATCCAGGTGAGTAGTGTGTGGGTACAACATCCAGGTGAGTAGTGTGTGGGATAAGGTACAACATCCAGGTGAGTAGTGTGTGGGTACAACATCCAGGTGAGTAGTGTGTGGGTACAACATCCAGGTGAGTAGTGTGTGGGTACAACATCCAGGTGAGTAGTGTGTGGGTACAACATCCAGGTGAGTTGTGTGTGGGATAATGTACAACATCCAGGTGAGTAGTGTGTGGGATAATGTACAACATCCAGGTGAGTAGTGTGTGGGATAATGTACAACATCCAGGTGAGTAGTGTGTGGGTACAACATCCAGGTGAGTAGTGTGTGGGATAATGTACAACATCCAGGTGAGTAGTGTGTGGGTACAACATCCAGGTGAGTAGTGTGTGGGATAAGGTACAACATCCAGGTGAGTAGTGTGTGGGATAAGGTACAACATCCAGGTGAGTAGTGTGTGGGTACAACATCCAGGTGAGTAGTGTGTGGGTACAACATCCAGGTGAGTAGTGTGTGGGTACAACATCCAGGTGAGTAGTGTGTGGGATAAGGTACAACATCCAGGTGAGTAGTGTGTGGGTACAACATCCAGGTGAGTAGTGTGTGGGTACAACATCCAGGTGAGTAGTGTGTGGGATAATGTACAACATCCAGGTGAGTAGTGTGTGGGTACAACATCCAGGTGAGTAGTGTGTGGGATAAGGTACAACATCCAGGTGAGTAGTGTGTGGGATAAGGTACAACATCCAGGTGAGTAGTGTGTGGGTACAACATCCAGGTGAGTAGTGTGTGGGTACAACATCCAGGTGAGTAGTGTGTGGGATAATGTACAACATCCAGGTGAGTAGTGTGTGGGTACAACATCCAGGTGAGTAGTGTGTGGGATAAGGTACAACATCCAGGTGAGTAGTGTGTGGGATAAGGTACAACATCCAGGTGAGTAGTGTGTGGGTACAACATCCAGGTGAGTAGTGTGTGGGTACAACATCCAGGTGAGTAGTGTGTGGGATAAGGTACAACATCCAGGTGAGTAGTGTGTGGGTACAACATCCAGGTGAGTAGTGTGTGGGATAAGGTACAACATCCAGGTGAGTAGTGTGTGGGTACAACATCCAGGTGAGTAGTGTGTGGGTACAACATCCAGGTGAGTAGTGTGTGGGTACAACATCCAGGTGAGTAGTGTGTGGGATAAGGTACAACATCCAGGTGAGTTGTGTGTGGGATAAGGTACAACATCCAGGTGAGTAGTGTGTGGGTACAACATCCAGGTGAGTAGTGTGTGGGTACAACATCCAGGTGAGTAGTGTGTGGGATAATGTACAA